GCTGATACTGACCAAAGGTCATTGACCAGAAACGTTAGCTCACATTTCTCTTTCCATAGATGCGACTTGACCCGCTGAGTGTTCCCGGCCACTTCCGGTTTTATTAGCCTCATTACTATGTTGATCAACATCGTGATAATACTGCCAACAATAATAATTAACACGTCACGCAATTCAATTTCTCATCCAGGGCATTCCTCCAACAAAACAAAGTTGGGAATTCGACCAACACACACCTCCAACTTGTGAAAACCCCCATCACCACACGCTCGCAACACCCCCCCCCCCCACCACACCGCCCTCCTCCCCTTCTGATCCCAACTCCCAGCTCGGATCCAAGACCCCTGACTGTCCAGCACCCTGGCACGTATTTCCGATCTGAAGGGCGCTATACAAGTGTAATTTGCTGCTGCTGTTGTAGAACTTTCTTCCAGAAATATGGTGAAATGCCCCTTCAATATTTTAAGGGAAACCATCAATCATTTAAGGTGGAAAGAAATGGATGCAAAACACACAGACACTCCACTCTACAGTATATCCTGTGAAGCGCTTTGAGACGTTTCGAAGACGTGAAAGGTGCTATATATCAAAGTACTTTTCTTAAGGCATCAACAACTACAAGCAACACGCGAAGCAGGTTCGGTTAGGGATCTCGTAACCTTTACCAAACACAGTTATATCTCATGATCTATCGATGACCTATTTTCAAACAGAAAGGATATTTTTAAAAAGAAGTTTTCAGACGAGCAGTGGGCACTTTAACTGGGTAGGTTCACTCTGCAAAAAGAAAGTAAATAAATACGCCTGTTTCCTTAAAACAGTAAAAAGAATAACGCTTTGGTACGTGTAGAGAGTTCTGCTTTTTATGGGTGAGTTCAGTGTACGCACTTTGCTCTGCATGTGGCTTTAAACGTACAGTTAAAGGGACGTGCAAAGCAAAATGCAGACACCTAAAAGGAATTGAGGAAATCCCCAGGGCTCTCACTCGCCCATCAATCACTTTGCAACTATAGTAATCGCTGAGCATTATTTAAAAGTCTCGCCTTCTATATTCGGAGTGGGCGAGGCTGAGGCAGAAACAGTACAGATCAGATCTCGGTCTGTGGGGTGGGCGGACAGCAAAAAAACTGAAAGCACAGACACACTAATGCACAACAATGCATCAATCTATCATTTGCCGATCACAAAAGCATAATTTTTGCACATGTTTTTGCGTCGTTTCTGAAAGCAAATCGATCAGAACTACTCGCAACTCTAATTGCAAAGCTGAATTTGCTTTTTGTTTCGCATTACCACACCCGGAAACGTATGGTTGAAGCATATCCAAACCAGACTGAGAGCTCTTCAGATCATAATCCTCGCATTTGATATAGCGCCTTATCGCGTCTTATCACGTCTTCAAGATCCCAAAGTCTTTCACAAAAAATACTGTGGGTTGTCTTTACAGGTCAATGTCACCTACTCGTGATAATTTCCACCAGCAATTGCTTTTAAATCTGTTTGCAAAGCATGAAATAAAAATAAATATCTTCACAAAGCACTCTTTTTACCCCAAATCAACCATGAGTTTAGGGAAGATTGACTTCAACAAACATATAGCAGATCTTTACACACACACACACACATATATATATATATATACATACACACACACGCATATATATAGTGCACTCAATTTTTATTTTGAATGAGAAACAATTCGCATTGAGATTTAATTCATTTATTTTATTAATTGAATTTATTTATTTGAGATGCTTTCGGATATCTCAACGACGCGATAAGGGGCTAACATCAAATGCCAGAAGAATTATTCTTGTTAATTTATAAGGGCTAAAAATAATCCTTACAATTCACACATTTGCAATCTTCTGCATGATTTTAGTCTGCAGAGCATGATTTTGTTTTAATACAAAATATTGCCCTTTTAAAAAAAATGAAAATGAAATGAGTGACGTGGGAAATGCCAGCCATGTTAAGCTAATTAAGGGGAGCAATTAGGTAGGACAATGCCTCTTTGCAGTCAGCTCTCTCTCACACACACACACAACACAAACTTTCTGATGCAAGGCTGAATTTGATGACATTTCCGTCAAGGGGGTGATTTGTCGGTTCAAAATTTCTCCCACCCTCTCAACCGCAAATTGCATTTAAACGGCGCCTTTCCCGTCGGGAGGATGTCCCAAGGCGTCGGACAACCGAGGGTTTGCATCCGAGTTGGGGGTTTTGGAATCAAGAGGGGTGGAGGACAAGGGAGAGCGGGGGTGGGAAGATGACCGAAGGTGCAGTCGGTCAAAGAGGAAGGGGTTGGAGTTGTGCTACGGATCAGCCATGATCTAATAGAAAGGCGGAACAGGCTCAAGCGGCTGAATGGTCTACTCCTGTTCCTAAAGTCTTGAGACGAGCCTTGTATGAGGCAAGGGAGAGGGCGAGGCAGAGGGGCTCAGGGGTGGAGTTCCAGAATTTCGTCCTAACTTCCAAAGGGCACGAGATATGTAAGGGTGAAGTTCTGATCCTTCAATAGGAAGACCCGTTGTTTATTTCATTTACTCTTTGATCTGCCCTTCCTCCCATCCCACACATCCAACTCAACTCACACACACACTGTGCCTTGCGGACAGGAGCTGCTGATCAAAGCTCTCCAGTCGCTGTCTCTAACTTTCTCCTGATCAGTACCATCCCATTTAGCATGTGGGGTGGGGAGGAAAGGAGCTTTCAACCCTCATTCTCAGGTCACACAGGGAAACCTCAGGTGGGAACTGGGTCAGGCACAGGCGGCGAGATGATGGGGTGGGGAGATGGTGCAGGAAAGTCTTTCCAGCATTAGGCAATGAATTACTTATGATCCCAACACCTCCCTCCACAAACTGGAGTCTCTGCTCTCTCGCTAACACTAGCACAGGAGCCAAGCTACACAAGGTGTGTGTGCCCATCTGTGCCAGGGCTCCTGGATTTAAAGTGACACTGCCTGGATGAATTATGATTCTACATAACAAACCTTTATGTACTGGTTTGCAGACAGACGAGCTGACCTCATCGAAAGGGAGTGTGATGTTACTTGTGCAGGAAACCATTTGTGTCACGTGTCCCTTCCGGCTCCTGCACACTCAGTAAACAAAAGGGGTTCGGCAAAGACGCTGGCCCTTTAAATGGAAATAGTGGCCCTTTAATGGAAACGGTGGCCCTTTAATGGAAACGGTGGCCCTGATCCATTGGAATGAAACAACTTCCTTCCTCGCACATAAAAAACACAGAAGACCTCTAATAAGTTTAGTATTTTGATACAACTAGTTATTACTAATTACAGTTATGCAAATGTGCTCCATCTGGACAGACTAACGACGCACGCAAACCCTGGTTAGTGCTATTTATGTGGCTGCATTCTTTCAGGAGAGGAACAGATTGACATTGTTGACCTTCAATGCAACCGGCCAAGTTTGCTGGGCTGACTATCTCTGCGAGTTTCTGATGGGGCAATCTCAGGCCTGGCATCGCCACTGCCAATAAAATTGGCACAATAGACCCTGCAGAAAGGCTTGCATCATAACAACAACAACAACAACTTGCATTTACACAGCTGTAGGACATCCCATAGCGCTCTAGACAGTAAAGGGTTTGCACCCAAGCTTGGCGTGGGAGTCAAGAGGAGTGGAGGGCAATGGGGTGGGGGGTGGGAGGATGACCGAAGGCATGGTCAAAGAGGAAGTTCTTGAGACAGTATTACATGTGAGGTTTGTCCCCATCTGCACTAAGTTTTTAAAAAAATCTTTCAAGTCATTTTTTTCTCCTCCCTGAAGGCATCTGACTCTTTTTTTTCCCTTCTATGGGGGTCAGTTCCACTGGCAACACTCTGGTAATTGCGTCCGAGAGTCTGTTATTCACGGGTTGGCTCAGACAGTGAGGAAAGTGAGTGTCCCTGCCAACACTCTGCGTCTCGGCTGACACTTGAGGAATGGAGGGACACAGATGCTGGGGGGAATGCATGTATCGAGCTATTCAGTCAGTAAAGAGTACTTGAGAGACTACATCACAAAAGAAGACATTCAACCTTTACCCTCCTCCTGAAAATCAGAAATCGCTTCAATTGACTGATTGACTGATTGATTGATTGATTGATTGATTGTCCTCCGGAAGCACTTGCTCAAAAGTCCCTTTAAATGGAGACGTGTTTTTCTTTAAAAACAAGCAAACAGCACAACTTTCTGTCAGGCGACAACCTTAAAAAACTCGAACAGTTGATTCATGTTTGATTGAAACGCCAAACACAAAACACACATTTGTGACTCTGCGATCAGCACAGTTGTTCCCTTGAAATGGCACAAATATGAGGGAAAAATACAAGCAATGCCTGGCCTTTTGCGTTGTGCCTACAGTACTGATTGTGCAATATTTGCTGGTTGTTCAGTTCAGCATTGCATCAAAGATCCTTCTGTGTATGTGTGTTAATGTGTGTGTGTTAGCGCTTTATTCACTCTGGGACCCTACTCTGTGTGAGGGGTGTTATATAAATGCAAGTTGTTGTTGCTATTTGCAGATGATTGGCTGTGAGTGTGTAACTGTGTGTATGTCTGTGTGCGTGAGTATGTATGTGCGAGTTCCATTCATATGCATGTAGATCTACATGCATGCCTGCTTGGCGGTCTGTGCACACGCATGCGTTGCATACATGCACGTACAGTACATGTCAAATGCCACCACCCACACGCATGTGGGCGTGTGTTCATGTGTGTTCCCTGTACGTGTATGTCACCCGGAAAAAAAACACACTACCACCACAGAAAAAGAGAACTGAGTCAAGAACGTGTGGGCGTTACTGCGGCTTTCGCATATACATACACACATATACACGCACGCATATCATATATATATTAAAAAAAGTTCTTTTGAAAAAAGATTTGCAGTAGTAGCAAATCTGCCTGGGTGTTTTTTTAAAATATATATATATACGTGTGTATAAAAGTTTGCTGAGTTAATTAATTGCATTGAAAGAAAGAATTACTCACCTCGAATTGCATGTTGTCTTTTCCTAAAATAGGTCTCATACGCTGTGTAGTCGCAATACACAGTGTTCATCCCCACACTCCTGCTCTCCAGCCAGTGCACTTCAGCTGTTCCTTTGGCACAGATCTTCAGGGAACGAACTGGTAATTTTCCACCCAGAACCAACACCACACGACCAGAGACCAACTCCCCTCTGGTATAAACACTGCTGTCGACTCTGTCCAGCAGCAGAGAAAAGCCTTGAATCTTTCCAAACTTCATCTCTCTCTGTCTCTCTCTCTGTCTCAAAACTCCTTCAATAACGCAACAGAAGACGATGGAGGAATTAAACTCAAACCTTTTGCAAAAGGCTGGAGATGTGTTTTTGTTACTCTTTCTTTTCTTTTGCTGTTAAAATGAATGGTGTTAATGGCATAGAAATGAATCCTGTGCACAGTGAGTGAGTGAGTGAGTTAGGTCAGTCAGTTAGGACAGCAACCACCAGACTTGGCAGTTCTCTCTCGTGTGAGTGAGTGTGGTGTGTGTAAATTGACAATTTAGCAATGATGTCCAAACACTCACAGCCAATGAGTAAAAGGAGGAGTCTCTACACTCAGCCAATACAGGAAAAGTTTTCACAAAATGTTTCTCTTAAAGCTGTCTGTTTGTTTCCCTGTAGCTCTGCGTAACACAGTCTCTGTCCTTTCTTTATCAAGTGCCTTCCAAACACAGCTTCTATAATTAATAATAATAATAATAATAATCCTTGTATTTGATATAGCGGCTTAACGAGACATCTCAAAGGGCTTCGTAGAATGTACCGTAAAGTGAGTTGACTGTCTATTTTACGGGCGAAACGCGGCAGCCAATTCCGCGCATTTTTTTAAAAGGGGATTATTACCTCCAGAAAGCGATCCGCCAATCGACTAACAACTGGGTTCCGTCTTATTGCTAGGAAAACGGAGGGGTGTGGAGTAAGGAAACTTGCCTAATGTTTCGCCCTGCCCGGGATTCAAACCCAGGTCCTCTCGCTCGTGAGGCTCTAACCAATACGCTACGAAACGAAGAGCTTTACACTCGACTGCGTTGTCGAATGTAAGAATTGCTGTTTAATGGGATTTGAGTAGTTTCGATCTGTTAAGGCTACGCAGGCAGTTCTGCAGTTCACGGTAAAATCCTGAGAGGCGCTTTGAGAGCCTCTCGATGACGTGTCAAATTGCTATATCGAAGTTCAAGCAAAACTGCAGATGCTGGAAAACTGCAAACAAAAACAAAAGTGGCTGGGAACACTCAGCATTTATGGGGAAAGGAAAGTGAGTCAACGTTTCGGGTCCACCACCCTTCGTCAGAATGCAAATGCAAGGATTAACATATTATAAAAGCACAAGCTCTTATTTCTTTTCTAAATTTCACTTCATCTGAAAGCGCTTTGCGGTGTCCTGCTGGTGCGAAAGGCACGACTGTAGATACACGTATATTGTACTGTAAATGCTGGTTTGCCCCAGAGGCTGCTCGTGGGAATCTTATCCAATGTGCAGACGAAACTTAAAATAACTGTTAAAAAAAATTGATGGAAAAGATAAGTTTAAAAAAACCTACAGTCGCTCAAAGTCACCAATGAACAGAGACAGAAACAGTGGGGTTAATGAAAACACAGTTAAAAACGTAGTGATGAAGAACATGACGACGGTCGGACCTCCTAGGGCTAAATTATTTTGTCGCTCAGCTGAAATGAACCAGACTGCCTTGGAGCAGCGAGACACTGTGCTGGAAGGGGTCACGCCTGACCCTTTAAAGATGGGGGCGCCCTGTTGCTCTGTGTGCTACGTGACGATGATGTCTTGAGTCGAAAAAGGGTGCGTCAAGAGTGTTCAGCTGCTGCTGTTCAGAGTGGATAAGAGAGCAGCGCTGCCGTTTGCTTGCAATAGATTGCTTGCTTGACCCCGATGAACGAGCGGATAGTGTTTTTGAACAGGAATAATAATAAATAGAGGATATCATGCATGGTTTTTCAGCACGTCTCACGCTGTTGTTTTGAGGTTGGAAATTGACTGAATCTTGGCATGAAAATGGGCCATAAGGGCCACTCACTAGTTATGAACGTGATTCTCAACGTTGGCATTTTTGCGCCAAAAATGCAAAAGTGAATTAAATAAATTCTAATTTATTATAATTTTTTAAAATTCTAATTAGAACAATAAATTCTAAACTCTCTTCGCTGTTTGTTCCCACACCCTTTAATTTTCCTCCTCTTCTTACATTTATCCCTTTAAACTTAACACAAAATGTTTAAACATTTTGTGGGAAGGGATTACATATTCTAACCAACCTACATATGCAATGATTATTATTATTCATAGTATTATATAATGATTTATTTTTAAATTTATTTGGGGGATTATTTCAAATTTGTGCCCGGGTGAGAATAGCATTGTCATATCATCTTCACTGCCTTGATTTGAAGGAAGTCCCCGATGGCAACACTCCCTCATTAAAAAGGGTCTTCATTCAAAGATTTCCAAAGGTCAGGCTTTCAACGATGATTCTGGGACCAGGAATCTGTTGCTTTGCAAACAACTGATTTCAGATTCTGAGATTCCATTAATGAATAACTGAAATATGGAGCCGGAAATTTCCATTATCTGCCCGTCTCATAGCGCATATCAGCTTTAGTAAATAACACTGCCCTCCGTCAATGTGTCTCTCCTACATCCCAGTTCAGTCTCAAACACAGTCAGTCCACTTTACAGTATATCCTGTGAAGAAGCTCTTTGAGACGTCTCAATGGCGTGAAAAGTCGTTATATCAAACGCAAGGGTCCATAACTCTGTCTGTCCAGGGCCTTGGGACGTCCTCCCGACGTGAAAGGCGCTATACAAATGTAATTTTGTTGCTGTCTTATTATCTCCAAACCTTCTGTGTGTCTATGGAGTTAATGCTAGTTTGAAACCAGTCAATGGTGACGCGTGCCAGACAGAGAGCCTATCCCTTAGCGAAAAGAATCATGGAATAAAGAAACGATCAGTTATTGAAGATCCGACTATAGATCAGTTGAGTAACAAACAGCCTCGGTCTCTCTGCAGATACACTCAACGACAAGGTGTGAAAGACAGAGCGTGAAAGACAAAGGACATGAACAAAGGCTTCGAGACGGTTCTTTTTTTACAACTGATAAAATAAGGCTCTGACCGGCCAAACCAGGATGTGATGGCAATTACGTGACTCTCCTTTGGTCCCAACCTTACACAGTGAGATGGCTGCAAGATGTGGGACAGGCAACAGGGAAAGGTTTAGTAGCACTTTGCCGCCGCCCAGTGGCGACATCTGTTAGAAAGGAAATTCTCGAAGAATTGAGACTTAAGATGTTTCGGCGTCTCGTAAGAGGATTAGAATTGCTGGACCCAATTCCAAGGCCTATCCAGATCACTTTCCACCACATCCTGGCAGTCGGGTCCCAAACTATAGACTGTATCCCAAGATATTATTTCCTAAAAGAAATCTGTCAAATTTGCTTTGGAAAGAATCAACACTTGTTTTGCCTCATATATAATAATATATAATAATATATAACAATAATATATAATAATATAATATTATATCATGCCTTCATCTCTCTGATCTTGCTCCTCCATTGACAAAAGGATCTTGTTCCCTCAGCTTGGACGTCCCATGACTCTGTTGCTTTTGCTGTCTTTCAGTTGTATTTTTTGCTGTCAATGGGAAGGGATTTGGTCCATTGGAATTCAAGGCGGTGGGAATCACACGCAGCCGGGTGGGTGTCTGATGCATCCGAACCCATGTTGCAATGCTTAAGAGTATCCAAACCAAACAGAGTTCCGCGTACAAATGGAAATCTCTCTGTGTCTGGAGTGAAATGCACACTCTTTCCCCGGAAGGACGCACCCTGATTAGCTCATTTCAGAAAGTATTAGGCACAGGTTGGCAAAAGCCAGGACTTGTGAGCGGGACACACACTCACACAAACAACAACAACAACAACTTATGTTGATATAGCTCCCCCCCCCAACCCTCACCACACCTCACCCAGGGTAGCATCCCAGAGTGCTTGACAGTGGCGGATTACGCTGGGAGGCGACTGTAAGCACGTTGGTTGAAGAGGAAGGTCTTCAAGCGCGACCTGAAGATGGAGGAGCGGCGGGCGGGGTGGAGGGGGCGTTGGGCGAGGCGGAGGGATAGAAGGAGAGTGTTCCGGAGTTTCGGGGTCAGAAGACACAGGAAATGGAACTAATTCTGGAGAGTGCAACTTAAGGGAGTTAAATTTGGGAGTTTGATTCAAATTGAGAACGAGATTACACTAAGCGTCCCGAGACCCTGCCCGGCGCGAAGGGCGCTACGCAAATGCAAGTCGCTGTCGCGTTTGCATTAACTATGTCCATAAATCTGAAAAGCATGAGATTTACTGCAGGATTACTTCTGTTCAGTTTCTTTTCCAGCGCTTAAAGATGCTATTCCGCATCAAGGGCGCTGTGTAAATGCAGGTTGCCCTTTTTTTTTCAATCCCACCCAAAAATAAATAAAAGAAATACACTTTCTGACCAGAAATTTGCATAGAAATCGCTGTTCCCCTTGAGATGCAGAACATGAAGGTGGTTTGGCATCACCAGGGGCGCTGTTTAAACACACCTGGATGTGCAATCACATGGGGAACCTGAGCTTTCAGGGTGTGGAGCAAGTGGATTGCAAACCGATTTGGTGCAATTACCTTCACACGACTGTCACTGTGGGGAAGGGCAGTGATCAGAACCTGTGCAACATGGGTGCAATCGTGAGAACGATCCTATTCATTTCCCTCGGCGTCTCTTTCGTCTCTGGGGAAAGCACTACTAAAGGTAAAGGGCGAAACTTTCGGGATCCTCTTAAGAGTTTGGTCCAGAAAAAAAAAGTTGTGAGCAAGTTGCAAGTCTGGAGAGGGGAAGTGTCGACGTGTCAGAGACGATGTGGGCAGTGCATATAAATATATATGTGTGTGTGTGTGTGTGTTGTGTAAAGTCAGCTTCGTTTTTGCAGTGCAATGTGTTTGAAACTCTAAAAGAAGCGTTGAAGTCAAAAGAATTTCAAAACTTTTAATGTATATTGGTGCATAAAGCATATTTTTTTGGGGGGGGGCATGGTTTGGATTTTCCTGCTTGGCTTCTGTTTCAAGACAAATGTTTCCGCTGCTACTGCTATTGTTCTTATTTTTATTAATAATGCTTTTGAAAGTTAGTGGGAGCGACTTTACTCTACTCGAGAGAGACGAGGGTGAAACTTTACCTAATGTGCGATCGAATTATACAATATAATAATAATAATAATCCTTGCATATGATACAGCGTCTTATCGCACCTTCGAAACATCTCAAACCCCACCGCAGAATATGCTGTAAAGTGAATTGACGGTATATTTTAGTGGGCGAAACTTTGAAACGGGGTCTGCAGCTTTCTGTAACTTTTGATTGCCGTTTGATGACCGGTTTGTGACTGACCACCTTACGGAGGAGATTGACAGGGTCTTTCTCGGGTTGTGCTGCTGACAAGGCTGGTTAATGGAGCGTGAAATCGACTCCACTCTTAGGTAGATTCAGTCATTCGACACCCGAGCCGAGCAGCTCTACAGGGCTCCAAGGCTTTATGTTGCTGATAATAATAATAATAATAATCCTTGCATTTGATATAGCGCCTTATCACGTCGTTCAGACGTCTCAAAGCGCTTCACAGAATATACTGTGAAGTGAATTGACTGTGTATTTTGTGGGCCAAACGTGGCAGCCAATTGGGCACCGCAGCGTCCCACAAACAGTCTTGAGTGATCAAATTATTATTTTTTTGAAAGGATTATTGCCCCTGGAAACCTGCCAATCAACTAACAAGCAGGTTCCTACTTACTGCTAGGTAAACTGCTAGGAGGAAGGCAAGTTGCCTGAGGTTTCACCCTGCCCAGTAATCGAACCCAGGTCCTCTCACTTGAGAGGCGAGAGTTCTAACCACTACGCTACAGGACTCCACAATACCTCGTCCTAGTGACTTAAAAGGGGGAAGGTTCCCCTCCGGGAGCAATTCTACATCTATCATTGCATTCACTCACTGCGTCATTGAGGTGGTAAGGAATTTGAGTTATGAGGAAATTGGGCTTGTTTTCTTGGGAGGAATTTATTAAGAAGGAGTAGCAGGAAGAATGTTCGCTGTAAATGAAGGGGTGAAATCGAATTAAAAATTAGAGGTGGGAAAGGAGCAAATCATTCATTGAATGTTCTGCACAAAGAATCATGGATTTGGGTAAAAAAAAGGTACCAGGAACAATGGTGTATTATGATCTGTGCGTAGGTCGAGACCTGAGGAAATATGATCTTGCAAAGATTAGGCAAAATGTCTTGGAGCAATGCAAGTTTTTTTTTCAAAGAAGTTAGAGTACTGTACAAACAGACTAGACCAACCTGATTAACCCTGATCATAAAGGCAGAGATGCCGTGATGTCTGATGATTGTTAAAAAAAATCCTTGCATTCGATTCCATGCCCATAACATCCAAACACTTCCAGCAATTCACGGGGAATTGCTGTCAAGTGCAGTAATTGTCTTTCTAGGCAAATGTGACGGTCACGATTTTACATACAACAAGGTTCCCACAAACAGTCATGGGATGAATGACCAATTTATTTAGATTATTTGTGGCTAGGCCGTGGTGGGCGGTGTGTATGGGCAGGGAGAGAAACACCCTTATCTTTTCAAATAGCGCCATAGGATCTCTAACATCCATTTGGTTTAATGCTTTGAAGGAAAGCTGCTTTCCTTTGGGAGAAAGTTCCATGTGTCATTTTGTTCCCGTCTCCTATTGTCTTCTCCCTCCTCTCATAACAAGTGCCGACTTGGGCTGATGTCCATATCCATGGGCACCAAGTCTTGCTCTTCCCTACCTCTCCGACTTACTAAACCACTAACAGCCTGTCCGTTCCTCTGCCTGGCAGGCACTGGCCCACTCCATGCCCCCTACTCTGCCCGCTCCACCATCGACAATCAGGCCGTCATCCTCTCTGCTCCCACCCACTGGAATTCCATTCTGGAATCTCTTAACCTTGCCCCCTCCCTTGTCTCCTTCAAGGCCCATCTCAAGACCTTCCTTGACTGTCAGCGCCTTGGGAAGCCCTCCTGACATGAAATGCACCATATAAATGCACTGTGTTGTTGTTGTGTTCTCAGGTACTTTGCTCGATATTCATGCATCTTTAGCGATTGTTGGCAGAGTATTTAAATAAATAAATAATCCTTGCAGTTGATATAGCGCTTTTCACGTCGGGAGGACGTCCCAAAGCGCTTCACAGAACACACTGTAAAGTGAATTGACTGTATATTTGTGGGCAAACGCGGCAGCCAATTGCGCACAGCAGTGTCCCACAAACAGTTAGATTGAAAATGACCAATTTTATTATTGTTTTTTTTTTGGAGGGATTATTATTAGGTGTGTGGAGTAAGGAAACTCGCCCAAGGTTTCGCCCTCTGCCTGGAATTGAACTCAGGTCTCTCGCTTGCAAAGCGAGTGCTCTAACCACTGAGCTACAGGTCTCCACCCGTATTTGTCAATAGAGGACATCACAGGCAAGTCCTAAACCTGCCTCATATGCACACACAACACACACACACAACACACACACACAGACACTTTCCAGCAGGGTCTTAGTGTAGTGATTAGCAGTGGACTATTCCTTAACTCAGCACAGACAGAGGATGGAACCTAGTCCTTCCCTCATCCCTATGCCTCAGTGATATGCCGTGACCAAATGTTTGCGAAGGAGGTACCTGGTTGGTCCTGGCGCAGGGCGTGTGCTATGTGTTTGAACGGGATTTATCCTGTTAATGATTTGTAAATAAACGATGGTGAGTTTCACCCAAGAAGGTTTCCATGGCAGCAAAGCTGCCCTTTAAAATCATAATTTGTGCAGTGCTCACATAACAAAAAAGAATTCAATGTCAACAATGAACCAGGTCTTGTTTGTACAGTCAGATGCATCCTTGGCCACCTCAAATTCCTACTGTAAGTAAATTCTGTTCGGGCTGTGAATTTCTATGTGTCTGATGAACATTTGGGCCCAACTCAGTCAGCAACTGTTCCTGGGAAACCTTGGAGCTTCCACTCATTAAGCTTCTTTCTTGCTCCCAGGGCTTCAATGTGGATTTTGCTGAGCTGTTACAACAAGTAACAACTTCCGTGTATAGTGCCCATCATGCAGGGTAGAGTCCCACAGCACTTGACGCCAGAGAGTGTTCCAGAGTTTCGGGGCAGAGTGCCCTCCGTTCTACCACCGGCGCCCACGCTTTGAGCCACACTGCCCTGAAACTCTGGAACACTCTCCCTCTATCCCAGGTAAAGGACAAGTAGGGGGAGGGAGGGAGGGAGGCAAGGCAAGGGAATGGTACTTTCTGCATCCTGTTAGGCAGCTGTGTCCTGCCAAAATGTGACCTTCGTGGTGGAACCATTATATCAACGCGCTTTTTGTGTGCACATCAAAGCCTCCTGTATTCTTCCCTTCCTCTCCAGGGATAACGTCAACTACAACTCCAGTGGTGACATCGACAGCTTTGGGAACTGGTCAGACCAAAAGTAGTTCCGCTGATCCTCCTGGTACAACCACAGCCGCATTATCCATGTCCACAAACCAAGTGTCTCAGAACAGCATTAGTTCTCCTGCCGCAGCCACCTCGCCGGCATCCAGCAATCAGAACACAACGTCAACCAAACCGACAACCGTCACCTCCAGCCCAAAAAGTCCACAAGGAAATACCACCGTGAGCGAAAGCGTTACCACGGCCAACACCAGCCAAACAACACCTGCCCAGTCGACTGCCCTGCCTGAAACAGTGACCACTGTCAACTCGATCAGCATGACAACACAGAATGGCACAGGTTGGCGTTTCTTGTACAGTAAACCTCGCAAAATTCACATTAGTTGGGACGGTACATTTAGTTTGGGAACATTTAATATGACTTCTGCAAAGTACGAGTTATGTCAAACTTGCATAGGAGATAAACTCTCAAACGGGACGTGGACTGATGTACGACTTGGGCGATTATACGTTTTATACAGATCAGACTTTACTGTACGCTGCCTCCGACAATGCACATGTGCTTATGGGATATGTGCACTGTCGGAGTCAGCGTGTGGGGTGGCTCGGGTTCAGCCGGTTGACACGACTCCCTCTGTGTTTCAGACGTTTCATTCCCACTGATATCACATGGCATGGATCCTGGATTAGTGGCTGTGATTGTTATCCTGGTCTCGCTGTTGGTCATCGCGATAGTGTTCACCATGATCAAATACTCCAACCAGGGGAAGCAGGAGTTTAAACGACTTCATGATTTACCAATGGTATGTAAGCTGTTCCCACCCGTACACCAAACTCTGGGTATTTAGGTGTATGCATTGCACTTGTGTAGATGTATGTGTGTATGTATGGGGTGGCGGGGGGTCACCCCCTTTCTGTCCAGGCAGCACAATCCATTTGTAATGCGAGTTGGGAGTCACTAGGGGCAGGGAATCATCCCACTCAGCTCCTGTCAACGGGTAGGATAGTCCTAGCTGGACAAGCAGCGGGAAAAACAGTGATATCAGTGGCAAACTACGCAGTTTGGGCTGGTTAGACTCCAGCAGTTATCCCCAACACACACTCTGGGCTCCTCGAACCTTGGCTCTTGCCAGACTGCGCCTAACTCCTTTCCGGAACGGTAAGCAGGATGCATCCCTCCAGGGAGAGAGAGAGAGAGCGCGCATTCCATTCCAACAATGCTTACAACAACAACAACTTGCACTTATATGGCGCCCTCCACGCAGAGCTTAACTGTGGCGGAGCCTGCTGAACACGTCTGTCACACACATGCCCCTTGAACTCTTCCTGGTAACGATGTTTTAGTTGTTAATTAGCAGCTGTGCAAAGAAACACTCCCTGGGGCAGATCCGTATAACAAGACGTTTTGACGTTAAACTTTACCCTGAATCATCAGATGTTGCAAGTACTCGTATTAATTCAGCTTCGTGTTTGGCCGCAGACATGAACTCACCATTTCCCTTTCTCTGCAGGGTAATCTCTATGAAGATTCTCCATTAGTCCTCTACAGTGTGTAGCCATGAGCACAGATTATAGCAATGAACCTCCAATGAACCAAACTGCCCCTTCTGTTTGGAGTCACTGATTAGACTCAGTCACTGAAGCGATAGTTACATTTTCACATTAGAAACGTGAAGATTTACATTATATATTTGCGACTAAGCCCTCCCAGCCTCCCTCACGGGACATGAAACTGATCTAAAGTTGGGCCCGTTCCACGATTATTGACTAAGTCCCCCAATCCTTGCTTGGTTATGAACGGGATGACCAGGGCTTTGGCTCACTCAGATGCTGGTCGTTGGTGGAGATCAATGGGATTTTCCAAAAAAAAACAGGGTTCTTTTGGCTGCCGAGGGCTGGATGCCCTATTTGAGAAATGTCCGTGGGTTCCATAAGCTATATATGTTTTTGAAATGGAGGGAGGGGGCGGATGAAATCGGCCCGCGGGCTGCCAGCTGGACCGCCCTGTCCCCGTAACCGCACGGTTGCCGTGGCAAACTGATCCGAGCGCTGAGCAAAAGCGTTCACACTGGTTTCCGTTTTCCTCTTTCAGAACAGCTTAAGCGAAGATGCTCCTTTCGCTCAATATCCACCCAAGTAACTCGCACACGCTGGCACTGCTGCATGAGAATGTTCCGGAAGGCGGTACAGCCCTCTACTGGCTGTTTGCACGTACTGTACTTGCTGACTTCTTTCTCCCTCTCTCTCGCTCTCTTTCTCTCTCCGTTAACAAATGCATGGCGCCCTTTTAACCAGGAGAACTAACCAGCAATGGCTGGAAGTCAGTGGTGATGAGTTAGTGACCAGATCCAGCTCAACTCTTGCACAATCCTAGATTTGGTTATTGATCATCACAAGATGATGGAGACTCTTTGCCCCATTTGTTCTCAACTCTCCAGGTTACCCACCTCCACCATCTGCCCATCACAGCATTGAGCTGGTTCTTAAATCGACCCACAGTCCACTCCTCAACCTTTCTACTCTGCCCTTCGCAGATATCTCCTGTATACACTCAGGACAATCACAAAGCAGCACCTTTAAGAAACCAGTCCAAGAAATTACTCTTACGGGCCGGAGGAATGTTTTTAAAATCCAGATTTAGATTTTTGTTTTGTCTTCTATTCGATATTCTGGGAGTGTAGAGCGTGATCGTTTACTCGGGACACTTATTTTTAAGCAAGCGAATCTTTGCTTCCAGTCAAAATTCTGACCCAAGCTCATCAATAAAGATTGTGTTTGTTTCCAATGTGGGTTGTGTTTTGAGGTGAAGGGAGTGGGTGGATGGGAAAGAGGACGAGAAGGAAAAAAGAGCTCCCAGCACTTATAATAATAATAATAATAATAATAATTGGCCTTGCATTTGATATAGAGCCTTATCACGTCGTTGAGACGTCTCAAAGCGCCTCGCGGGATACATTGTAAAATTTATTGACCGTGTATTTTAGGGGCGAAATACAGCAGTATCCCACCAACAGTTGTGGTGTGTTTGACCAAATTTTGGGTGGGGGGGGCGAGAGATTATTACCCATGGAAAGCGATCCGCCAATCAACTAACAATCAAGTTCCTACTTACTGCTAAGTAAACAGAGGCGTTGGTGTATATGTGGAGTAAGGAAACCTGCCTAAGTTTTGCCCCGGGCGGGAATCAAACCCAGGTCCTCTTGCTTGCGAGGCGAGGTCTCTAAACACTGAGCTACAGGAGTCCATACTTATATACCTATTGCTCGTCACACGTCAGCTGGTCCTTTCTACACAAGAATCTTGAGACTTTGATTATTTTGTTGGTATATTTAATATTTTTACACAACAGAACTCTTCAGTACATCAAAGTGAGAAATGCTCACAGCAGCTGAGGTTTTTTTTTCATCTCATACACTTCTTTTTAATATAATTTTTCCTTTAAAGTTTGAACGAGACCCGGAATGTACCCAACGACAGAGATCCTAGAATTGCAGAATTAGGAGATTTCACAAACTGCTAACGAGGAGGGTTTTTTTTTTTCCGAAGACTTTTTTCTATATATATATATATATCATACTTTGTTTTTAAAAAAAATAAGAAACAGTAAAAGCATATTGGTTATTGGGGAGCGGCAGCCACAAATTACGGTGAAGTAGTTTTATTAAGTATGTAACTGTGGCCATACATTGTCATCGCCCAATGTGCTCAACAGGAATAAAATGATGGGGAGATATTATCCTCTATCCGTGCTGCTAACCTCGGACACGCACTCGCACTGCGTGCTGGATATGGACTTGAGCTCCGGCAATATGTTTCTGTACAAAAATCTTTCACCTTTCCTCCACCACTCTCCCCATCTCCCTCCCCTCACTGCATTCATTTTTTTTTGGCTCATCTACCATCAAGGAGCAGAAAGCTTTTCCAGCATCAGTGCCAAAACACACCTCTGGTTAGGTGCAGTAGCGATTCCATTCACTGTAAAGAGCTTCCCTATTCCCTGTCCCTTCCCCCCACCCCCCCCCCCACAATGATATGTGTCTTGGTTCAAGCTCCCAGAAAAGTGTCTCTCTGGCAGATTGCCAATTTAATGCTGAATTAGGGCAATTTTCTATTGTGATTCCAAGTCCAGTTGAAACTATTTCTCGAAAAACATTTTGCTCAGGGTATTCCTGCAATATTTTCCTGTAATGCACCTGAACTTCTTCTTGATAGCCTCTGTCCCCTCCCCCCCACCACGTATATTACGTGGCACTTCCACACCTCCACCATCAATCTCCCCGCCCCTCCTCTCCTGAGGAAACATAAAGTTACAATACTTCAATGAATACTTCAATGGCCTGGTGCATCCCACCAAACTGTCACATGATCCTAAGGGTTGTAAAGGGAGCTCTCTACTCCGTTCAATGCCTCTCCATCGTCACGCTGATTAATATTTTAATGCCTCCTAAATGAAGAGCAACCATCCTGGGTTGGGAGTGGGGGGAGGGGCGGAGAGAGGAGAGGAGGAGGGAGAGAGAGGCCATCTTTTGAATCTTCTCTCCGAGAGAGAGAGAGAGAGAGAGAGAGAGATACAGTTTCTAGAGAGTGAAAGACGAAGGTGTATCACTCTGTCCCTCCGCTGGAGGGACCTCTTCAAACCTCCTGCTCCGCCAAGTCTCACTCATCCTGAAGCATGTCTTACCCCTAGTAATTACGTCCCTTCATTTAATGTACATCACTTAAAAGCTCCACCATATGCCAAAACTTAGTAACCCAGTCTCTCTGTATCCTGTACCCTAGTAACTAGACCTCTCCGTATCCTAGCGACCAAACCCATCTACCTGGTATCCTAGCAAACGGGCCTCGCTGTATCCTGCATCCTAGCAACCAGGCTTCCTCCCGCCCAATATCCATAATCCTGTGAACAATTGGTTTCCTATCCGGCCAGAGTTTACGGAATGAAATCAGTCGTCAAAAACCACAAGTCATAAAATTGTCGAACTCTACTAAAACCGCTCGAGTTACAGTCACAACACAAACCATCACCTACAGAGGAGTAAAGGACTGGATAAGTGACACAACATTCTGGTTCGTCAGGTATCTTCAAACACGCGCACGCACATACACACTTACTTTACACGAAGCCCATTTCAAAACTTCTATATTGCTTTCCATTAAAAGTTGTCTTCTTAAAGAAAAGTAAACCTAGGGGTGGGGGGGGGGCGCTGGAGGGGAGGTGCTATGCATTGTTTCAAAGAGATAAATTCAGCACAAAAGGTGATAAAATGATGCAGAACATCGCCGAGGGTAAAGCACGTGAACAACAGTTGCACACTGACTGATACCGAGTATTTACACCTTATATACAATAAGGAAGACCTTATATAGAGGCAACTTTCTCCCTCCCCCAACTCTGGACGATAAAATAACATGGCCCTACTTTGTTCACCCACTCATCACGGCCCCAAACCTGAAACTAATTATTGGAAACGACTAGCACTTGTGGACATAATTGAGACTAATCTGTAAGAATAACCAAATAATCCTTATATTTGATACGGCACAAAATTCGAAACATTGCAAATCGCTGCTCAGGGAATTGCTGTCAAGTGTAGCGACTCTGTAATTGCGGGCAAATGCGATATCTCCCGGCATTTTTTGCACACTGTTTGTAAAGTCCAACAAACGCAGCCAATTAACATGGATGATTGGTGGCCAAGAGATATTGGGCAAACAAACCTACTTTTCTTTTCCAAGGGTCATGGGATACTTAATGTCTCATCTATTTGTCTCAGTCTCCGACCAAACTATGGGATGAAGTAAGCAAAGTGTAATTCACCTGTGAGAAAATGATGGGTTGGCTTTCTCTGCGGGTAGTAGATAGTTATTTGGGGAGGACAAGTTTGCAGGGCTATGGGGAGAGCGCGGGGGAGTGGGATTGATTTGGATAGCTCTTTTCAAAGAGCCGGCACAGACAGGATGGGCCGAATGGCCTCCTTCTGTGCTTTATAAGTCTGTGATTCTATGGCTTGTCTCAGGCTCACTCAGACATTTTTGCAATTGCCAGAGCCCTCTGGGGGCTGTTAACAACACTGCAGCCTACATTGCAGATCTACGACGACAACAACTTGTACCTTCTACAGTACCTTTTCACATACTCAGAGTAACATCTCGAAGCACTTTGCAGAGATAGTGCCAAACACTGAGCAGGGAGGGTAGATGAGGAAAGTGACCTGTAGGCACGGTCAGAGAGGTAGGTTTTCAGGAAACTTTGAAAGTCAGATACAGATGGGGCGAGGTGCAGGGATGGGGGTGGAAATCGGTCCAGAGGGTACTAAGCCTCCTTAGGATCCTAAATATCTTACACCTTCTAGTCCGTGTCTTGACGTTCTCTCATCCTCTACTGGAAGACTGATATTTTACCCCCTAATGACCATGCCATTTATGTCCCACCCCGAAATACATTTTTCCATCTGATTAACAACAACAACTTGTCCTCCACGTCGGGCGACGTCTCAGAGCGCTTAACAGTGGCGGAGCCCGAGGCCGAGCCAGGGGGAGGGGGAAGGTGACCATAGGCGCTGTCGAAGAGGAACACCAAAATCATGTTTGGATTGAGCAAGCCATATTTTAAAGAGTTTCATGAATTTGATGTTCCGTCTGGTCAAATGCATTGGATTCTTTCCTTTCCTCGTTCAATTGTTCAGTGATTTTTTTTTTAGACCCTCTGGTCATTCGCCGAATAGCAGCGCAGTGATATAAATAAGCATACATATAAATAAATAAATAACAACTTAAAGAAATGAGAAAATAATTAACAATTCTATTAAAAGTTGAGTAGTGCTAATGAGTTACAAGGAATTTGGACTCGCTTTTTAAAATAAAAACTCAATGCTGTGATGGGAGGACAGTATGTCGATGGTTGAACTCAAATGAGCCAAAGGGCGTTATTCATCCGAACATCACTTGTGATCGTTTGCAGTGGTACGGAGAGGCCAGGGGAGCGGGACAGAATGGATATCTCTTTCGGATCTGTGCTGCAAAATGCTATGATTCAGAGTCAGATAGAGATGGGGCGAGGTGGAGGGATGGGAGAGGGGGGGGGGGGTTGGGGGGGAAGAGGTTCAGAGGGTAATCAGCCTCCTGAGGATCTTCTTGTTCATGTATTGACCTTCTTCGTTTATTGGAGGTCAGAGGAAGGGGTCACAGGTTTATCAAAAAAAGGCCACACTTTGTGTGCAGCGACGGTTCACCTGAGATCTGCATCTTTTGGCTTTCACTGAAACCATGGCTTGTCTGCTCCCGGGATATCTCTCTCCTCAGATGTCCACTGTATACTTGGAGTGAATATTTGTGCTCATTGAAGGAGATTTGGGATATTTGGGAAATGGAGCGCTCTGCCTCTTCAACCCCCTCCCTGTGTGATGAACATTAAGTAGGCCAAGGTTTTAGTCCTTACAGCCAAAGTCCATCTACACCTTAACTTTGTTCATTAAACTCCTAACCCGGAACATTTCAGCAGATTGTTATCACTTATCACTTCAGGTTCTGGGTCAGAGTTTAGAGACAGGCTGAACCTATTATAGTCGGGTGACCATATGGTGACCATATGTCCCTGATTTCCCCGATAAGGTCTTAAATCCCTGACCAAATTTGTCCTGTCTTGAGTTCAGCAACAAACTGAGCAAGAACGATACATTTCTAAATCATCAGAGAAACGCAGCCATAATCCAACGAGCTTCTCCAAGTAACTGCACCGCCAGCATCGGGAACTGTGCTGAGTTCAGTTTTTTCTCATATGTGTCCCTGGATTTGGTTGACAAAATATGGTCACCCTATAGTACAGGCAAAGCACCGCTGCTCAAAATAGCCGTCAGGACAATACCTTCTATTGTAGGAGGATGAAGACTTAAGGAGGCGATTGATTTGTGGCAGGGTGTGATTAGTTATTACTGGTTATTAGTTACTACGGAAACCTGTGCGTGGGGTCGGGTGAGAAATATTACAAATATCCAGTTGTTTCACTCTCATTAACAAAACAATACGTATTATAGCGAATAAACTTCAGATCAGAGTCAGAGGCTGCTGTTGTGCTGCCTTCACTCTCCAGATGAGCCTCAGCACATGTCACTGGAGTCTTCACACACTACAATTAACAGGTTCCACACGGTACTCTTACACACTACCCACAGCTTGCAGTAATGTCAATAGCCCCATTGCCACTCGCTGCATGTAGCACTGACACGCGCCATTGATAAATACGGTAATGAATTCTAGATCCCTGCATGTGTCCGATTGTCAGGCCTGAACGTTGTTGCGTCTGGAGAAGAAATGGAGAAAAAGGAAGGGCGAGAGATGGAGAACTGGAATCAGAGATCTCCTACAGTCATATCAGATTATGACCGGTATTCATTTGATCTCAGAAGTTAACAGAAGAATGGAGCGAAAGAGACGAAACAAAATGGAAAGAAATGCCCTTCCGAGTCCTGCCGATGAGTCCAGGTTGGGCTGTGCCGTCACCAGCAGTTCCCTGAAGTACTGTGGCCCAACCTGGCTCAGGAACCGGACCTACCGAGACCGCCACAGAGGCTCGATTCCGTGGTCCGTGGTCAAACATGTCAACCTTGGAGCCAGTTCACCTCCTCCAGGGTGAAGGTGTTGAGGATGAAGGTGTTGGGGAAAGTGAGAGAGAGAGAGAGAGAGAGAGAGATGAGGAACGAAAAAGAGCGAGCAAAAGAATATAAAGGGGGAGAAAAGAAAAATGTTAACGTCCAGAGTTTTCTGTTTCAGTGACTGAGACACCACAGGAGAAGTTTCTCCCTTTGACAAAGCCACAGCATTGATCATCATTGCTCTGTGAACTACTATCCCCTCCCCGCCCTGGTCCAGGGATGATGGTGGGAGAAGTTGATTAAATTGCGATTGTCACATTTCTTACGAGTTAATATTTTCAACAGCGAAAGTGGGAGGGTGGGGGTGGGGGGGGGGAAATGGGGATGGGCTTGCGGGGGTGAGTGGGTGGGGGGGGGAAGGGACAGCATGCGCGGGATGCGTAGCGAAGAGGATGTCACAAAGTGTGATAGGGAGGGGAGCATCACACAGTGAGTTTATCAGGACTTTCACATACACTTACATCGGCAGACAACTAGACCCTGGTCTGCATCCCTACGCATCGGTTCCGAGTTTGATTGGAAACTGTCTAGCGAGTGGGACCTTGGGCTGTGTGTTTCCATCTGGTGGGGGTGGGGTGGGTTTCTGAGGGCGAGCGGGGCAGGGGATGGATGGGGGATGGGGGGAGGGAGGGAGGGAAGGTTACGAGGGGATCTCTAGCATGCGCAGTCCTGGTGCGGAGGGGCTGGCTGGTCGTTGAGTTGCGTGCCTTGCTTGGCCCCGGTCACTGCGGGGTCAGCTGCGTCCAGACTTTCCGACATCTTCTCGCAGATGATGTCCACCAGCCTCTCGAAGGTTTGCTTGACGTTGATGTTGTCCTTGGCGCTAGCTTCGAAATACTCGAACCCTGGAACCAGAGAGCGAGCGTTATATCACACTACACCAATTCCTACCCCCCTCCCCCCATCAACGCCCCCATCATCATCAATCCAGTGCAGGGTGAAGCCGTTGGCAAGTTTTGGTACTCCGCACACATGCCTCTGTTTACACAGCCATAAGCAGGAACCCGATTGTTAAGTCGATTGGCGGATCGGTAATAATCCCTTCAAAAAATAAGACTAATAATAATTTGGTCACTCAGTCCTCGAGTGTTTGTACTGTTGCGCAATCGCCCACAAAATCTACGGTCAATTCACTTTACAGTATATCCTGTGAAGCGCTTTGAGAAGTCTCAAAGACGTGATAAGGCGCTGTATCAAATGCGAGGATTATTATGTATTATTATTATTACAATAATTATTATTATCAGCTCCGTCACTTGGCACCTGTCAACTGCATCTGTTTTGGTGCCAAAAGCCTCATTGAATGAAAAAGGAATGTAGCTAAGGAAGCCTAAGCAAGCTTTTCTTGATCTGGTTTAACTTTACCCAAAGGTTGGAGAGACACGTACCCAGATGCTCGGCCAGCTGCCGTCCTCGTTCTCCCAACACCACTCGCTCATCCTCCATATCGCACTTGTTTCCCACCAGCAGGACTTGTGCGTTGTCCCAGGAGTACGTCTTGATCTGAGTCGACCTGAAAAACACGACGTTTCAACATCTTCATCTTCTCTCAGAATGAAATCCGCCGCCCCTCCCCAAAAACAAACACAACCAGCTCCTTGCATTTGATGCAGCGTCCCGAAGCACAATGATTTACAACAACGACAGCTTGCATTTATATAGCGCCCGTTCACGCAGGGGTGGGGTAGCGTCCCGGAGCACTTGACGGTGGTGGAGTCTGACCTCCAACCAGGGAGGAGAGAGAGCGGAGGAGGTGGCCGTAAGCACGATCAAAAAAGGTCTTCAGGCGGTGGGGTTTGAAAGTGGGGAGGGAGGGGACAAGGCGGAGGGGTTGCGGGAATGAGATGACTAACATACCAGTCCTGGACAGCGTTGAATGACTCTTCGTTTGTGATGTCGTACATCAGGATGAAGCCCATGGCCCCTCGATAATAAGCTGTGGTGATGGTCCTGTATCGCTCCTGACCCGCTGTGTCCTTTAGGAAGCAAATGGCACACGATTATTATTATTATTGTCCTGAGATGGGAGCAATCACTGTACTCTAGTGAAATACTTGTTTTTTTGTTTGTTCCTGCTCTGTACAGTTTGAACTGTTTTCAACACTGCAAGCTGTGGGTTACATTAACTGGGCGGCAGTGGTAACTGAGGCTGGCAGTGCCAGGGAACTCGATTAACATCAGTGCAAATACAATGAGAAACTAGGGCATTGGTTGGGTGGAGTCGATGAATCTGGCAGCATGAGGGAGCTGGATTAACATTAGTCAAGGTACAGCCAGTAAAACATGGCACTGGATGAGAGGAGTTACTGAGCCCGTCAGTGTGAGGGAGCTGGGTTAATAGTAGAGACCAGTAACACAACAACAACAACTTGGATTTATACAGTGCCCCTCATGCAGGATAGCGCCCCAGAGCGCTTGACAGTGGCGGAGCTGGTGGTGGGGGTGGGGGTGGGGGTGGGGTGGGCGGTAGCTGACCATAGGCACGGTCGAAGAGGATCTTCAAGCATGACCTGAAGATGGAGAAGGAGGGGGCAAGGCAGACAGATGGAGGGTGAGTGAACCAGAGTTTCGGGGAGTAGTGGCTAAATGCGATAATAATAAATAATCTAATAATAATCCTCGCATTCGATATTTGATATCCGATGGTGGAAGGGAGGGCACGAGGGACAAGCAGGAGGTCGGAGCCAGTCGCTGGCTGCGAACGGTTTCTGAAGGGAACTAAGGACACAGACAGGAGGTGAAGGTCTGACCCAGATTTGGAGCTTGATCCTCTTTTCGTTCCTGTAGATAGTTTTGACTTTGAAGTCGATCCCGACAGTGCTGACGAACGCCGGAGTGAACGAGTCGTCCGCGTATCGGAACAGGAAGGAGGTTTTGCCCACACTGCTGTTCCCAATGATCAGGATCTTGAACATGTAATCAAAGTTCTGATCCGAGGATTCCTTCTGCCCAAAACGTGCGTCTGTTGCCGAAGCCATCTGGAAAAGGAAACCGGGCACCAAATTTACACCACTGTGAGTGACAATATTAATAATAATAATAATAATCCTTGCATTTGATATAGCGCCTTATCACGTCATTGAGACGTCTCAAAGCTCTTCACAGCGTAGACTGTACCAAATATATATTGTGAAGTTGATTGACTGTGCATTTTGTGGGCGAAACGCGGCAGCCAATTGCACACAGCAGCGTCCCACAAACAGTCGTGGATTGAGTTTTTTTTTAGGGATTATTACCCATGGAATGTGATCCTCCTATCGACAAATAACCAGGTTCCTCCTACTTACTGTTGGGTAAACAGAGGTGTGTGCAGTAAGGAACCTTGCCTGAGGTTTCACCCTGCTCAGGCACAGCTCCTTGCATTCACAGCTTCATTTACGCATTTAATTTCTACGATTTACAACCATTGCACTTTGAAAATCAAGCACAGTAAAAGCTACGAGAAAACTACACGACGGTGGGACCGAATGGGCAGCTGTTTGGGAGAACTGGCACACGCACGATGGGCTGAATGGCCTCCTTCTGTGCTGTAAAAACGTAACCGTTCTATGAGCTGTTCCTGAAATGCGACAGCAGCAGCAGCAGCAGCGAATTCAGGTTTACATTCACACCTTCAGCGGCAAGTGGGACGACGATGGGAGCTAGTCGGCTGAAATTTCACACTTTGGGTGTGAAACTGTCATTGGAATAAAGAGTTCTGGGTCTCCAGCGCAGCAGACAGTGCCAGCTCGCACCAACACTGGCATTTCATCCTGCCTCGCAATCACACGGTGGCAGAGCAATGATTATCATCAGGGAAAGTGATCCCCGAGTCAGTTTCAAGCAGTGAAGTAGGAGGAGTACAACTCTTTTTATCACTTCGCCTTTCCGGGGGTAATAATCCCTTCAGAAACAAATGATAATGACAGTAATCTGGTCACTCAATCCACCGCTGTTTGTGGGACACCTCCGTGCGCAATTGGCTGCCGTGATTCACCCCCAAATGCACAGTCAATCCGCTTTACAGTGTATGCTGTGAAGCGCTTTGAGACGTCTCAACAGCGTGATAAGGCGCTGTGTCAAAAGCAAGGATTATTACTATTATTATGTGAAGATCCCCCCCAAAAAAAAACAGGACAAAGGTTCGTATTTCACTGTGCAGAACCTCGCGTTTGCCCCAGCCCTCTAGGTTAGCCACAAGACTGCTTTGACGAGACTGTTCTGACCTCTACACTTCCCCGCCCCAACTCGAGCAAGGACATTCAGCTCCTGCTTCCCCTCCATCTCAAACAGACCCTGGGGCCTAGACGTGTGATTGCTACGTGAGTTGCAGTCGAGTTGCCGGCTGCTGGACCGAGAGAATTTCACATTGTTAACTGTCTGTGACAGAAACTGTTTATCCCCAATTATAATTTTTTTTAAAAAAAAAGAAAATGATAAGAACCTTAAATGTTGACCAGTTTGTGCTGGGCCGGGCCGGGCCGGGCTGGGTGGACGGAGGCTATTCCTTTCTCTCAAATCTCCGCTCCCCCCTGTTGTGGCCTCTAACTTCAAGACGTAGGTACCTCTTTGGCCGTACTTTTGGCTTTCTTTTCCCTCCCCTATCTATCCCCTTGGTTGGTGATGCGGATACCTTGCCACTCAGAAACCCACTCCCCTCTTGCTCCGCTGACAACATGACGGTGATGGAGAAGGTGCTGGGATGTGAAATCACATTGTGAATTCATTTTGGTGGGTGCTTCACTAAACTATTCCATGGCAAACGGTCGTGGATTGCCGTCCTCAACCTGAGCATTTCAGAAGCCGGGTTGAGGAGAACGGAACAAAAAAAAGGGGGGTATGAATCAAGAAATAGTCTTTCAGTGTCCCCCCCCCCCCACCCCACCCTACCCTAAGTATGGAGATTGTAAGAAATTAAAGCGCGTCAGTTTATTCCAAAGGAAAATAAATATACGTGGAAAATAAAGGCAGTGATAGCTCTCGGAGATACTGGACACAATCAGATAAGACATGCAATACAATAAACTGGCATTAAAATACTCCCCTAATAATGGGCAGATCTAAACCTGGGCATAATATCTTATAAACAGCGGGCAATCATAATGACCTCTTCCGGGTAAATGTTATTCTTCGGGAATAACAGGGATAAAACCTATAATACAATAACAATCCTTGCATTTGTTAGGGCGCCCTATCACGTCGTTGAGACGTCTCAAATACGCGGTGAAGAGAATTAATTGTACATTTTGTGGGCGAAACCTTGGAACAGTCTCACAGCTGAAACCCAAATGCCCTCTACTGGACACTTCTGAATCCGAGTGCCAAAGACATACAGCGAAGCAGATCTTCCTTCCTCCACTGAACGAAACGAGGCTGCAATGGTGCAGTAATGTTTGCTACCGCACTATATATATATATAAATATCTATATTTACATTACATAAATATTTATATTTATATCCCCAGACTGTGTGCATTGTATCCATGACCCACTCGACAAGACACAATGTACATAATCCATCGATACAATGGTTGATACAACGTATTGCATTTTTATTTTCAGACTTATTTTTTGAAGTCAATCTTTGCAACCGTTTATCTTAAGAGCCTGGCGGAGAAGGTGATACCGTAAACGGGAAATAAAACCCCCCACAGGATTGTTGCTATTATTATGATTATGATTATGATTGATGAGCAATTCCCCAGCAAGGAAGGAAGGAAACATCCAAACCATGCTATATGTTGTGCGTCAGTTACCTTGGACGCTTCCTGATCAAGGAACTAACCATCGTGTTGATTTGACCACTGGCTTTCTGCTCTCCTTTGCTCAAACCAAACAACTACGTGCAGTCGTCTACTGATCTGCTCCCAACCCGTATTCGCATCGCCTCTAATGCCCGGAGAGGAAGGAGGGACTCCACAGGAGCAATGACATGGGTGGATGAATGGGATTAACGAGCAGGAATCAATGGCCAGAAGATCGCCATCAATTTCTGTGTCGGTTCCAAACCATTTATCAAACCCTCCGCAAAACCATACCTACATGTTAAGCAAATATGCATCTTTTAGGATTGCAACCCCCACCCCCCCCCACCCACCCCACCCCCCCCACCCACCCCCAATTCTCTGAGCACAATTCTGTTACATCATATGTCAAATGAAGGTTATGGGGGGGGGGGGGGGAAGAAGAGAAAGAGGGGAGTCGAGGGGGGGGGGGGAAAGGAGTTGCAATTTTTGCAAATAAAATCCAGGGTTGCAATAAAATAAAAAAAAAGGATAATTGCGGATAAGAGAACGCATTGCACCCTGTGTCTGTGTGGGGAGTGGGGAGGGGAGGAGGGGGGGGGGGGGGGGGTGATGTGGAGGGGGGGGGGGGGGGGGGGAGGGGGGGGATGTGCTCCTTGCCTTCTGGCCCTGGCTATTGCCCCTTCCTTACCTTTAAAGCGTTGGTTACCTCCTGCGCTGCTCTGCACAGACACTGCAGCAGTCCCCAGTCCCCAGTACCTGCAGCACTTGATTGACAGCTCCGTCCAGACGTCACCGTCCGAGGGGGGAGGGGGAGAGGGGGAGGGACTTCGCCTGGCCAGCCCCTGATTGACAGCCCACCAGGCAACCAATAGGGAACGGGGGGCAACTTCAGCATCCCTTGGGTTTTCATTCGGAGTCAATTTACGTCTCATTTTTAAAAAAAATTCGATTATAATAGATATATATATATAGAGAGAGAGAGAGAGAGATGTGTATATATATATAATCATTGCAAATAAATCACTAACATTCCATAAAAAGAGCCTGAGCTGCAACTGTCAGGATTGGGTCATGTTATTGTGTGTTGCATTTCCATCACAGTAACTAACAGTAGCAAACAACCCCCCCCCCCCACCCTCCCTCCCCACCCCCCCACCATCACTGTCTTTGGACTTGTTTCACCAGATATTTTGTTGATTGAAATGCTTCTGCATCGAGTTTTTCTTTTTTTTTTGCAAAAGCATTAATCCAGCAGAGCCTGGGTATAAATAGAGAGAGAGAAAATTGAGAGAAAAAGAGAGATAAGGGTGTGTGTGTGTGAGAGAGAGAGGGGGAGAGAGAAAGAGAAGAAAGAGAGAGAGAGAGAGAGAGATGCAGCAAAAAATATAATCATTCTGCATAATTTATCCATGGGGATTAACTATTCATGGGCTGTTTTCTTTGCAACACACCCAATCTCCTTATCCAATCAATTTACTGCAAAAAATATATTCCTCCCTAACACACACACACTCACACCATCACCGATTGATAATAAATTAACGCAACCGAAGTGAAATGAATGGACTATGTATGGACAGTCCAGTTGGTTTGGATAATACATGAGGTGGGGAGGGGGGGCGGGGTACCTCATTCATAATTTAGCATGCGCGGCGCTACCTGGAGGCGGTAGGAGGCCGGTGCAGTTCAGCAACAACAACAACAACAACTTGGATTTATATGGTGCCCTCCACGCCGGACGGCGTCTCAGAGCGCTTCACAGTTGCGGATCCCGGGACTGAGCCAATGGGGGGGGGGAGGGGGTGAGGGACCAAAGGCGCGACTGAAAAGAAAGGTCTTCAGCAGAGACCTGACAATGGGAAGGGAGGGGAGCGAGGCGAAGGGAGTGGGGAAGGCAGTTCCGGAGCCTCGGGGCGCAGTGGCTGAACGCATGGCCGCCGAGGGTGGAGCGGAGGACTCGGGGGACGAGGAGGAGGCCAGACCTGGAGGAACGAAGGCAACGGGTGCTGTTTTGAGGAGCGAGGAGATCAGAGAGGTCGGGGGGTGCAGAGGAGTGGAGGATCTTGAAATCGATCCTCTCTGGGACAGGGAGCCAGTGCAGTCTGGCCAGGACTGGGGGGATCGGAGAGCAGAGTTTCGTGCGGGTGAGAATGTGGGCGGCAGAGTTCTGAATGAGTTGGATTTTATGGATGGCAGTGGAGGGGAGACCGACGAGGAGGGCGTTGGAGTAGTCCAGACGAGAGATGACAAAGGCACGGACCAGAGTTTCAGCAGCTTTTGGGGAGAGATATTGGCGGAGTTCGCGCTTGATTGAGCTGGTGCGTCGAGGCATTTGAGGGGGCAACGCAATGGTTGGGCAGGTTTCACGCCCAATTGGACGGGTGCCTAGTATTTGGTTTTTTTTTAAAAGAAAAACCCTGCAAAACTTTTTTGGGTTTCGAAGAGCTTTTCTTGTCACTGTTTCAGAGAAGCATTAACCTAAATTGGTCACTCCGCTTCCCCCTATAATGTAATATAGGCGACGCGTAACGTGGGGCTATGTTTTGGGCTAGTATTCGTGGCCGTTGGGCTACAAAGTTATTTTAATTTCTGAGGGTTAAAAACTGCTCACAAATTCACAGGGGACGGACGACCAGTCGTGACAGCCACTCCGGAGCATTTGAACAAAGTCGAGTTTTACTGTAAAGCGCATTGACTGTATTTTGTGGGCAAAATACGGCAGCTCGTTGCACAAGGCAATGTCCCACGAACAGCCACGGAGTGAGTGACCAGTTTAAGTTGAGGGATGGTTGGCCAGGACACAACAAACCATTGGGACATTTTATTTCTGTTTTTGCGCTCACCAGTTTAGGTTATTTTGATGTGTTGTAATTGAAACCCGGTTGTGTGAGTGACTGATAATTCAGTGATCAATAAAAAGCAGTCGATAAACACCATAACAAAAAAAACTGTGCTGTATAAATTCAAATTGTTGTTGAAAGAGGAGTAGGGTGTAAGCAGGTGAGAGAGGTAGGGAGGTGCTGGGGCATTAAACGTTGAATATTTAATTAAGAGCTTTGGTGCGTTTTCAGAAGTTGTTGCAAGACAAATTAACAGAGTGCATGCACATCAATGGGGAAGAGTGAGGCGATTAACACACAAACAAGGATAATATTTACAATAACAGACACCCAACATACCCAATAACTGACACAAACAAGCAGAGGAAGGATTTAAATAGCCACGAAAACGACAGTGAGTGATGTGTGCGACCCATGTGTGCCAACTAATGGGTTACAAACCTTGCATCAGATTGAACCAACAAGCACACGTGAAAAGAGTAACCGAACGGCACCTTGGATTCAGGTGCGGATTTCGTGCTTTCAAGAATTTTATTGTGCTTTTTGTTATAAAAAAAATTTGTACAAAGTACAAGAGTGAGACTCGGTTAGAAGAAAACCAAACAAGCCGTGTTTGTGCACAAGACACTGTACAGATTCAAATATTGTCCAAAAGAAGTCCTTTAGCTTGGGGTGTCTTCACTTTTGGTTTCCTTAACAAACAAATCGTTCCATGGCCAGATGAAAATACTGATTCCAGAAAAAAGACATTCCCAATTCTACAAGCCATTTTACGCCCATGCGAACTGAATAGTGACTTGAGCAAAACTGCCCTGTTTCGTCTTGCATCAGATTGAAATATACTGGAGTGTTATACTCAGTTAACACACTGTGTGTTATATAATATAGATAGAACCGTTATACCCCCAGCAACACACCGTATGTTATGTAAGGTTTACCCCATAAAACATTATATAGACAGGAGCATTATACCCAGTAACAAATGGTGTGTTATTATATTGTACATAGAAGAGTGTTATACTTTATAACACAGTGTGTTGTATAATATATACATAGACAGGAATGTGATACTCAGTAACACATGGTGTGTTATTATATAATATGTACAGGAGTGTTATACCTAGTAACACATGGTGTGTTCTATTATACATACAGAATGTTGGACACCTCTAATATATATACCCTTGTAATGCAGAGTGTTATAAAACGTGGACAGGCCTATTATACCCGAATAACACACAGCATGTTATATAAAATATACAGGGAGCTTTACACCCCAATAACACAGAGTACATAAATATATAACATAGACAGGAGCATTATACCCCAACATAGGGGTTCATTGTTCAATTCAGAAGGAAATCTAGGAATTCTCATCTGGCCTATGATGGAGCTGACATACCAATCACTAGATCGATCGTTGGGACCAGGGCTGCTCGTTTTCTACAGTCCAGTGTCAGGAAATGTCACTGTTTGAAAAATTATACAAAAAATTCATAAAAAGTGAACCTTCCGTGCTCCTATGGAGGTGTCTCATCTGAAAATAAACCCCAAAAAATTAAGTCAGTAAAATAAATTACTAACGCCAAGTTCTCACATTCTGACACGTACTGAATTCTAATTAAACTCAGAATGCTTTTGTCACCCACTATTTTTCTCCTCTCCTGAAGGCAGTGACTTGTGCTTAGGGTCCTGTTCCCTTGGTTCAATTGCCCTTTTGGAACATCACCCAAGTCTTGAACTTAATCAAGGAGTATTCATTCTGCAAATGCAAGAATAATATTCTTGCCCAGAACACAGAAGCCAATTGTCGCACCCTTATCAGTTACATCGTCTAACTCAAATTGGAGATTGACCCTCAAACCTTCTGAGTGTACGTGGCTCATTATTGAACGGCGATCTTGCCAATTGAACTTAAAGGGAACTCAATCTCTGAAGGATTGACGCTGTAAAGAACATTACCTTTGTGGAAAGGTTGCTGCCAACATATTTTTACTGGCAAAGGTGAAGAGGTTTTGAGTCAGTTTCAACATTATGATACCACGTATCGTGACATGAACACATAATCGTATTGCAAACAAAATGCGAAAAAATTGCCAAGGACTATTTGGTCTAAGATCTGTGATACACTGACTCCATCTGTTTGGTGTCACTGTTAGGACAAGGTACTCGAATAAATCTCAACCCTGATCCTCACACTGTCTGGTTGACTTATGGCATTCAGCAGAATGGTTCATGTGAAGAGACAGTAAATTTAATGCGATTTAAACATTTATGTTCAGGAATTTCTTCTGAAGTATTTCAACACTAATACAGGATGTGTTTGTGGTCAAAATGCACCTTCCTCAGTGGGTGGGAAAAAAGTTCCAGTGCATAAAAGTATAGGGTCCTGGTTCATATGGGAAAGGCTGCAAGATTGAGCCTATATTGTCCCAAATAACTGCATCCAAGTGCTTGAGCAAACTACTCAGTGCAGATACTGTACTTTGTTACCCTCGTGTTGTATAAATCTGTCTGACAAACATATACAAGGAGGGCATCCTGCCTTTTTTCTATTCTTTGTTTCATATAGAGGTGGAATGGAATGGGATGGGTAGTGGATCTGTCAGATGAGCAGTCAAATTATGGATTGAAATAATAGTTAGAAGCAAAACATCACTCAAAATTCTACAGGAAGGCAAAGGAATCAACCCAAGGTCACTCTTACACACACTCCTTATAACTAGCTTTATAGATTTTTCGCAGATTGCTTGCAATAGAATTCCTTCACACCATATTCTGTTTGTGGACAGTCGTGGAGCAGTGAGACCTAAATAATATCTCTATCTCTATTCCCCCCCAACACATACACACACACACACACATTTTAAAACATACATAAAATTAGGTAAAGTATGCCTTACACCTTGTGACACTTAAAATTTTATTATTTTTTTTAAAAGGAAAGAAATTTGATTTAAAAAAATAATTCTGCTCCCGAAAGAACAACAGCTCACAGAACTGATGAGATTTTGCTTCTCAAGCAAAAAAAAAAATGTAGAAAAGCTAAACGAGACGTGTTTGTAGATGATGGTTCTTCTTATTTCACTTAAACGTCTCATGGCTACTCCTTCCTAACATAGAATGAAAAACGATGGCATCAGTCTTTCTCTAGTTGATGAATGGTGCCAGCACAAATGCGCTTCAAACAATTTAATGGAATTTGGCACAAGTGCAAGTTTGGCTCACCAGTTACCAAATTAACCAAGGAATTATTTGTTGATCCTGTCTGGGGGAGAGAGGGGACACATGAGGACTGGAAGGAGCACAGAAAGGTTTTTTTTTGTTGCTTCTGTTATCTTTTGCAAGTGGTTTTAAGGGATATCTTAAAAAGGTTAAGGCACAGCCCCAGTCCCAGAGTACATTGGGTGCACAAATATATTACTGAAGAGTTTATATTGAGCAGCATTAGGTATATTGTATCTACAGCATTTTCAGCAATCAGTAATAGTTGGACTCTAAATAAGAGCTTTAAACAGAGACTCGCACCTCTCCTTCATGGGAGATGCTCATGTACAGACCGGAATAAATATTATACTTTACAAAATAACCCGGGACAACAATTAAACGCAGTGCGAATGGGGAAGATAATTGAAAGAACTGTAAAAACAGAGAAAGGAATTACGATTGTTGGACAGTAACAGCATTAACATATACACATAAAAGGCTCATTGTAAAAGTTCCGATCCATCCCAGCACCCGGGAATGGATTTGAATAAATAACCAACTGGGTTATTCAAAAGCTTGGTGTTTGCGACAAAAGTTTGGTTTGGAAATAATATTGGTTGGCACTCCAATGACATCGGCCAACTGTGTCTACACACTGACAAGGAAGGGCAGCTGGAGCTGAAAATGAGGTGTTAGTAGAGGAAACGAGAGAGACCAGTTCTTTTTTTAGTCTATCATTGTATTGTCCTAATACCTAAAGTTTAATGGATAAACGCCTGCGTGAATTGTATAAACTCTGCCATGGAGTAGTTAGGCCAAATGCCCCGTTCCTGTGCTGTCACTTCCCCCTGTTCTTAGCCTTCCACCTTTACTCCATAACTGCACAGAGACCCACCATCTGGTCTTCGTTTCATATACCGTGCAGAAGAATGCTCCAGCTAAAAATGCAAAGTGGGTTCCATTTTACTTGATTTGTTTCAAAAGATGGAACTAAATAGACTTCTGTGTGTTCTACAATGTACACAGGAACATAACACACATTAGCACACATTGTGTATATAAATTTTCAGCGCTATAACTCAGCAAGTGTATCACAGATTTGTTGCCGAATATATACAGGATTGGTATACCTGGTATGACAGTACTATTAATATACACGAGTACTACACACAGGTAACGTGAAGTGTGTTATAATAATATGTGTTATATATTCAGGATTGCTGATCACTACGCCCAAGTAACATTCATATACAAGAGTATAATACTCTAGCAACACACAATCTTGTTATATAATATCCACAGGAGGGTTAAAACTCTGTATTATACAGCATACTATATGATACAGACAGAAGTTTGCCCTGTTAACTGTACCTCAGTGACACAGAAAGGATTGCCTCTCAGTGAAACCATCACTGATCACTCGCTTGGCAGTGACAAGTTAAAAATATAAAATCCTTCATATGACCTCATGCAGAGCCGTGTAGAAAACCTTCTGTTCATTGTTACAGATACAATCTGATGGTATCAATTCAATGCGAACGCGTCTAGAAGGAAGTGTATAGATTACAAAAAAATTACATGTTGTTTGGGATTGCAGTTAGGGCCGTAGCTGATTGTCCGCAGTTCGGATGAGTATGTTAAAAAGTGAGCTTTGGCTCTGAAGGTTTATGGTGTCATCCAGATTCTTCACGTGAGACAGGGCAAAATAATTAACGCGCAATTGGCACTTGTGAGATGCAAGGTCAACCTTTCTTTTGAACGTCCCGGGAGCTCTCCAATACTCAAGAACATGTTTAAGAACATGCCACAGAGACAAAATAGCTTCCAAAGCCACCAGAGTTGTGTGGAATCGGACTCTATCCTTGGCTATTAGAATTTCTCTCTCTTTGAGATACCTGAGGCAGATGGAATTAATATACCGAGGCACTGGTGAGAATACTCTTCTGATGAATTACTGGATTTGAGGCAGATTAGTTAAAGTGCACAGAGGTGCACATGAGGAAGGTGAACTGGTAAGTCTAAAGTTTTTTAAAAACTTGAAAGTGCAGGCACCATCAAGGATAAATAGACTGAGGTGCTGATAAAGACACTCTTCTACGCTCATTACTTGTTAAGAGACAAATGAGTTGTTGTACTCGTGTATAGTGGACCATGGAGATGCTTCAGAATCTGGTTGTAATTTGTGGTTTAAGTGTAAAGCGAAAACCTGTGTGCCACAGGTGCCAAAGTTATTAGAACATCAGAGAAACTGGGTGACTGGCTACAAAGGATGAACAGTTTGGTCTAGAAGGTTCAATATTTTTGGATCAATATAATGGAGAATTATAACTGCATGTCAGAACGTTTTGCGAGAATCAATACTTTCACATGTTAGGAGTAAATAACGTTAATTCAGTCAATTTGGAATGGATTGTCAATGCTCGAGTTTGGAATAATTAGGATACCATAGAATGAGAACACACATGGGGATTATGTGCTTCTATACACTGGCTTTTGATCAGCTCACTAAGTGAAGTTTGGGCCTTCTAGTTTCAGCAACAATAAAACATATTGGGAGGAAAAAATGTCACCTTTCTACTTCAAGGTAAAATTAATTGGATTCAGTGGAATTCATCAAAGCAATGCTGGTAAAAGATAAAGTGGACGTTTTCCATTTCCTTTATCCTATTCCTTCTGTTCTCTCCAACCAAGCTCAACACGCAAGTAACCGGCCAACTGATAAAATTAACTGATTCCACTTTAAAGTTTTGATACAGCTCACAGGAGCCCTTTCTTTGGGTAGAGGGGAGGGATGATGTTATGCTTGGTTTATATTTTCCCAATGCAAACTTGCCTTCCGACTTCTTCAGTCAAACCTCAATTTGGACTTATAATTATTTGTTTTTCACCTCCAATTCAGGCAGTATTTCACCAGTTTAACGTGAGGAATGTGCAGACCTTTACAGCCCATTTTTAAACATCCTCTCTTTCTCACATACCTCCTAATCCCCTTTACCTCTCCCCCTCCCACTAGATTAAATTCTCTGTCTTTAAGGGAACAACCCAATAATACAATCAAACAATCCTCTTTGCCAACAAACCCTGCGGTTACAAGCCTCTTATATTTCATTGTCTTGGTAGCTTGACAACCTTAACCTCAATAGATTGATCTTCATGAAATAAACTATGCTGATGAATAAACTTGCACTGAGTCTAATGATGAGATTTCAATATGTTTTGCTAGCAATCATTTAATATTCCAAAGAAATTCACACACCTCCATCTCACAAAAGCCCCGGGGGTTTGTGGTTGGGAGGGGGAGAAAGAGTGAACAATATTCTTAACTATGCGGGGAGTAGGAGTGAAGGAAGGCACATTCAACATAAGACCTATGTTACCAATAAGGGTCCAATATGCATGATGTTGTATTTTAGCCAAAGGATGAAAACATGCACTGCCTGCACACACACACGCATACACACAGGTGCCAACACAGATGTCAAGAGTCATAGATAGTGTTCCCTAAACTTGCCCAAACTAAGGTTCACATAATCAGGTGGTAAATTGTTAAAAATACTCATTTTAAAAAAAATTACTGTTTGTTCTAAAAAGAATTGACAATCACCTTCCAAAGTTTCGAACAAGAATAAATATCCAGGATTCTGGTGCCAGCTACATCCTGATAAGGCAGCAAATTTGGTTTTCTATTCTGATCCTTTGTACAAATTTGATGGAACCATTGCTGTTTTCGGCTGTTAGTACTCGCAGCTTTTCCCCAGTTCATTTAGCAATTTACTTTAATTTTTTTTTCCTTTTTTTAAAAAAAAATAAAAAACAGAAACATTTTTTTTTCCCAAGCCGGGTTCTAAAATATTCCTACTGCTCGTTAAAACCAATTACATTTTTTTTCTTCTAGCGATTTATCTCATCACGCTCTTCGTCGGGTTATCTCATCTCATCCCCTCTCGCCCACACCGCTGAGAGAAGGCCAGAAATCAACCACTATTTCCGCAACGGCCAAATAGTGATTGCGGCAATAAAAAAATTTTTCTTCTCGTGTCCTCAAAGAAAAAGGGAACCAGTTGGCAACAAGACTCCAGTTGCTTGCTGTTGAAAGCAACGGGTAAATTGTGTGCTTAAATACCATAAAAGAGCAGAGATGGTCTTCTTATATATTTTTGGTTACGTACCCAGGGGGTGAAATGCCACATTCCCCTCTTTGTCAACAGAACTTCGTACTGCAGTTCCTGAAATATTTGACGGTGCATTTCCCGCGGTGGATTTCGACTGCACGACCTCCGTGATTTCTTCTTTCAGTTCCCCCAGATTATTCTCAAGGTCCACAATCTTTGGGGTCGGAGACTTGGGACTTGAACCTGAGATTTTCTTCTTCTGCAGGCGAGATTTCTTTAAGAATTTCTCATGTATGCTCTTGGGGGCACCCTTTACTTGGGTGTCAATTGTCCCCTGCATTACCGACATTTGGGATTCAGCATCCGTGGGTCTATTATCGCTGCTACTGGCATCTTCATCCACTTCCACTGTTAACTTGTTTTCCTTGAGCTCCAGTCCCTTGTCCTCATCCAGCGTGAGGTCAAATTGGAATTTATCACCCGTGCTGGGGCTATCCTTGTCGGCATCCTTTGCCCTGTCCTCTCTGGGAGCCGGTGAGGACGGGCTGTGAGGAATCATACTTTGGAACCACTCCCGGTTATCTTCAAGTGCGTCCAAAAGGTTTTGAGCATCTGGGTGTACCAGGTCTGCCCAGGTTTCCCATAGAGGGTGCACAATGTAATCGATAAATGAAACCTGTCCAAAAGGAACAAGATATGGTGAGTAAAATTGTTACACGCGATCCTTTATTAAAGTCTGGAATGGAACCTTTTTTCCAATTTCCAATTGCCCAAATCAGTGGGACACAATCTTAAAATTAGAGCTAAACCAATTAGATGTGAGATGAGATTTCTTCGCCCACAAAATACATAGTCAATTGACTTTACAGTATATTCTGTGAAGCGCTTTGAGACATCTCAAAGTGCTTCACAGTAAAGTGGAGTGATTGTGTATTTTGTGGGCAAAACACGGCAGCCAATTTGTGCACTGCAATGTCCCACAAACAACCATAGAATGAGCAACCGATTTTATTTGGGGAGGTTGTTGGCCAGGACACCGAGAGAGAGAAACTCCCTTCTCTTTTCGAATAGTGCCATGGGATCTTTAACATTCACCTGAACAGGTGATCATATCTGAATGCAATTATTCATTGTCCACAACATACTAACTATGTAAGTGGTTTCCCTGACCACAGGGAAGAGAAAAACAATTTGAAACAAAGCCCATCCCCTTCCAATATTCTGCTCACCAACCTGGGTCTTCTCAACCGAGGCACTGTGCTTGTCGCACATTGGGCTGATATCCATTCCTCGCTCCTGCTCCTGATCTCCTTGATAGAAGAACTCCACCATGATCTTATCCACCCACTTCCGGTACAGCTCCAGGGGTTTTGTGGGATTGCTGAGGTCTGCACAGTGAACCATATTCTGGAGAACCTGCAAATGACAAGATGCTCATGTTGGAATTTCTGATCACTGTCTGTGCTGTTAGCTGAATTTGTAATGGATGCCAAAATTGGACTTAGTACCCCAAGCTAGGGAGGAGGTAACTTGATTAGGATTCTGGATGTTGGTTGCTCGACAGTGTATCCTGCCTGAAATTATCTTTATTGGTGGATGTTGGGTGAAGCTAGGATTGGGAGTGTTTTCTTCCTCTTCCCCCTCCATTGTCTAACAGTTTGCTGACATTCATTGTCTGAGCTCACATATGAAGATGGGTGAGACATCCCAGAGTAACAGGACCAGCAAATCCTCAGTCAGACTGGGGAAAATACCCGAGAATACAAAGTACCTTCAATATAAATCAATGCTTTGGAGTAATGTCGCTCAATATACAAAGAAATAAAATGTAATTTATTCCCTTAGGCTTACCTGTATCCTGTCAGAGTAATTGTCCAGCAGTAAAACACCCAGACTTGTAACTTTTTTTGTTTCCACCATAGTCTTTAAGTCTGCTAATAAACTCATGTGCTTGGTCATGTCTGTCGCTAGAACCTGCATCAGAACAGAAAAATTAGGATCGAAGTTGTTGTTGAGGAAAATAGTAAGTTGATCTCACCAGAAACATCCAAACATCATACCATAGGATCTTACCAATAATTTAACAGTATATTATCTTTTCTCTTCTGAAAGACCCCCCCAAAAAAATGATAATTTGGCTACTCGATCCATGACTGTTTGTGGGACATTGTTGTGCGCAATTGGCTGCTGCGTTTCACCCACAATATATACAGTAAATTCACTTTATGCATCTTGAAAACATGATAAGGTGCTATATCAAATGCAAGGATTATTATTCTTATTCTTAGTGAATCATACTGAGCTGAGTCTTTTTGGTTCTGTCAAAAGCTGAGCTGCTCCTAAACATCTTCATTATGACAGGAACATTTCTCACTATCAGAACTTTTTTTTTGGTTTTTAAAACACTTGGTCTCACCACCAGGACTCCTTTCGAAGAGAGAATTCCAACTTTGGCCCCCTTTAATAGATAGCAGCAGCAACAACAACAACAAATTACATTTGTAAAGCGCCTTTCACATCAGGAGGATGTTCCAAGGTGCTGGAACAGACAGGAATCCACACCCGAGCTGGTGGTTGGGATCAGGAGGGGTGGGAGCACAGGGAGGGTAGGGGGTAGGAGGGTGACCGAAGGCACGGTCGAAGAAGAGTGTCTTGCGATTGGTCTTGACGGAGGCGTGTGAAGGAACGAGGCAAAGCGGACGGAATTACAGAGGGTGGGGGGCATAGAGGCTGAAGGAGGCCAGATGTGGCAATGCCACACAGACATGTGGTCCTTACTCACCATGTCGATGGTCATTTTGCGGAGGGACTGTCGCTGTTTCTTGGTCAAGTTCTGGAAGATGTCACAGTTTTCGTCCTGCAGCAATTTGAAGCCCACAGCCAGGTGATGGTTCTCTAACACGGATGTGTCGTTGTACATCAGTGCTAATTCTGAGTCTGGGAAAAATAGAGGCATGATGAGGATTAGAGATAAGGAGACACACACACACACACAGTGATCAGCATCAAAAAATGTGATACGAAGCAAAACAGTCAGACCCAAAAAGCCAAACAGAAAGAGAAAAACGAATAAAGAGTAAAGAGAAGTAAGAGAGAACAGAGAGTGTTGGTTTAAACAACTGAAAATATAACTTACAAATACCAGCATCTATCTGGCTTCTCTTAAAAATTGCTAACTTTATCCCAGAGGATAAATTACTATAAAAAATATGATGATTTATATACAGAGGCCAAGATATGCAGATTGCTTAAAAAAGAAGCGATTATTGTAGCCAAGAATTTAGAATGGGAAATCTAATAAGACTTCATAGAATAAAGGCTATTTGGATTGTTTGTATATAGAATAATGGATACTCACATTGAGAGATCCAGATGATTTAAATGTAACACAGGTACTAGAGTGTGATTGCACATTAGTGATGAGAGAGGGGAGCCCTCAATCTTTTCCTTCCACTTCCACTGGAAGATGAATACTCACTGGTGTTAATGAGGAACTGATTGGAGACTCCAGGATGATCCACATCATGAATCGCAGAGGCAAAGATGGCAGCCATAACTTCGAGGTCTGTAAACACAGCCTGCAAAAAAAAAAGACACAGAAAGTAAAAACCAAATACCACTTTGGAGAAACATCAAGTGATTATTTCTCATGAATTGTGACCTACACTAAAAAAAAAACTTCTAATTTGTCACACGTAAGGCAAGTCAGCCCATTTGTTCCAGAAAGGCCAACGACAACAAGCAACGAATTACATTTGGATAGCGCCTTTCACGTCGGGAGGACACCGTTCTGTCCTTACACCTTCAAGCTGTTTAAGTGAATCAAGCATCCTGATCTCAACTGTCCTTTCTGGTTGACACTTAATTAAGATGCATCATGGAAACTATCAAACCTCATTTCATGGACAGTGCGCCTAGAAATTGTGCCATTACATCTGCTAATATCTCTGGGAATCGCCCACTTTCAGTTTAAAAAAAAACACAATAAAACTTTGAGCAAAAGGTCCCACTCAACGACAGCAATGACACGGCGTCCCCCCACGGCAGAATAGCGTCCCAGAGCGCTTGCAGCTAAAGCGCTCACCTGGAGTGCTGGTGTCAAGAGCAGGACATGTGTGGATTGTGCCACATCTGCACCATGGTGATTATTGTGGTAGGACACTTCGGCATGATAGTGGTCTTCAAGGGTGGTCAGATAAGTGAAGAATGTTTCCAAAGGAATATTAAAGGTCTTCAACAAGTCTCGCTCCTAGAGGAAAAGAGGAGAAAGGAAAGAACTTCTGACTACATATACCTGTGCTATACCATGGTCCTTTTGTATTGCACATTTCTGAGCTGGTGCAATTATCAAATTTGTTGGAATATTTTTGTGGAAGTAGAAATAATTAGGAACGCAAGGTGAAATAAATTCTTACAGGATGAGTGTGTGGTGGGAACAGTAGTGATTAAAAACTTGTGAATTCCAGGTCCACTTTTTTTTCACAAAGAAGAAAGCTCCTTAAATTACCTGAAAAATTGCAAACATCGTGGCTGTTAGGGGCCTGCCTTCAGAATATTCACCCACTTTGAAGATATCCAGCCCCCAACTGTTGATATTTTCCAATTCCTAGAGACATAGAGGACATCAGCCAGAGTTAGTAACACATTAATCTAAGGAAGTGCACTGAACACTAATGTTATCGCAGTACTGAGAAAACTTTTCAAGCAAATGTGCAAGCTCTCTGAATCCCTCTGCCATTAGCCTGTTCTATACCCCACCTGAGTAGGTCTGATCTTGACACTGTGTTCCCAAAAATAAAAGCAAACATCCCATTTGCCAAAGCATCTGCATATTGCTAATCACAAATTGAAAAGCCTTGTATTTGTTAAGCAGAAGAATATTAAATCTAGATTAAATTGAACAAGTGATCCCTACATTGCCCACACAACACAAGTCAATCCACTTTACAGTATATCCTGTGAAGCGCTTTGAGACATCTCAACGACATGATAAGGCGCTATATCAAAAGAAAGGATTATTATAACTACATACTTTGGCCAGTTGGGCTTCCTTGGTGGTTCTTACACCGAAGCGTGGGATTTTGGAATTGGTCAGGGTCAAGCTGAGAGGCATTTTTTTCACAACGATCTGCGATAACGGCCACTTCTCCTCTTTTGATTGCATAGATGGCATTTCTACTTCATGCTGTTTGTCTTGGGAAAAAAAGACAGCATTATTTTTTTTTACGTCACAATATCTCTCTTGCAACAGGTCAGACCCGCAAGATTCCAAATCGGCATCAGGTCAAGTAGGTGAACGTCCTGTGTGACTTTCGGTCACAAGTCAGAGCTGGTTACAGCTGGAGGATAGTTGGCTTCAGCACAGCGAGGCTTGAGGAGAGAAAATAAATCAGAGTGCTCTCTGCTGGTTGCAGTCCAGAGACCACTTCTATCGAGTGTACTTTGTGGCCAGCTGGGATGTGATCCTGGAGGATGCTTGTGGCCTGGAGTTTTAATTGGGGCTCAGTCTTGGGAAAAGGAACAGAAACTATAATAAAAGGCGTGTCATAAAATGACAACTGCGACCTTGTGAGGCCCTGTTTGGCTAGATTGTGTCGGGCGGAAAATACTTTAAATAAATCACGGACCTCTCATAAATTACTGAGTATGTTCACATCACCTGCAATCAGGTCTTTGCCTGTGCCACACTTGATCCACTTGCCTAAGAGTGGGGACTTTTGCATCATTGCTGGGCTCCCAGAAGTGAAACAATAATTTCACTCAAATTGTATTAATGGGTTGTGCATTTACATCCAGGCACATTTCTGGGAAGGACTGATGACCCATATTCAAATGGGGTTTCACTCACCTAAAAAAGTGCTTGATATGAACTCTGAAACCTGGTTTCCTGAACGACTTGTTTCTGATAATTGTGTTAATTCTCGATTCAGCATCCTTTTGAACTGCGGAAAGAAAATACTGTCAATGAATGTGAGCCAGGAACAGCAAAGGGTTGGAGGACTCATCAATTGTAGAGATGCTTCGAACACATGGAAAGAGAATCAGGCCACAGAGAGATTGCCACAGCATTTAAATTTTTGAATATTTTTTAAACTTGAGGCAAAAAACCTGATCATTGGGAAAATCCTAATAAATTAATTGATGAATCTGACCAAAGCTTAGAAACCCAGCAGTCCAAACTGCTTCACATCCACTCTCACCGTACAGAACTTCAAAAGGGAAATGTACAAAATCCCTTCCGATTAATTGTATTGAATCCTAATACATGAACCTTTCCACTATTTACCGAGTCTTAGCAAAAAACTATTGGATATCTCACTGAAAGGGTTCACGCAGTTTCAATATGTTTAAAAGGCTTTGCAATCAGATTCGCTTTCCTAACGTTTCTCAAGATTGACAGCTCTATGTGGACACATAGTATTGTCTCAAGCCCTACAGTACAAGATAGAAGCAAGTACTTCCTTTTAAACGGCTTTGTACTGAATATGTATATGTGGCTGACACTGAAACTCACACAAGTTATATAATTCCAGACAGGAGCAAATTGTTCCCCTTTATCTGCTGTGCATTGTACATGTACAGGAGCTGACATAGAAACATCCCACGCAGTACCAGATGTGACTTCTCATCTTTCTCAGTGCGTGCTGTAGGTCAGTACCTAAACCGAAGAGAATGATGCCCAAGTGCTCTGTGAAAAGTCTACCTTTTAATTAACGAACGATCCGAACACAAAAAAAGATGATTTCGATACCGGTTGAAATGGACAAACACAAGAAATAAAAGTTGCTTCACAGATCGATCGACAGCATTTTTACTCCAACCAAATTCGGGGTTCAAGGGCACGAACAGGTCACGATTTTCTTTTTGGAAAAGCGTCCCACTTGCTTAGCGCCCTGCTCAATCCACATACCTTAATATAACCCCAAGAAACAGTCCGTAAATAGTTCACTTCAGGCATTGCAATAACACTCTCTGTTACCAGCCCGAGAAAAGAAAACCAAGGCACGAGGATCCCTGCAAATCCCTGGAAAACGTACTGCTGCAATGAGAGAGATCTGGATAGCAGACCTTGACCAGGGAGGTGGGGGGGGGGGGGTGGGGGAGAAAAATCCACTCTGCAGGAAAAGATCTTAAAGGTTTAAAGAAAAAAGAAATAAAACAGACAGCTCCACGTTCCAAACTGTGGCAACGGCGTCCGAAAATCAGCGCAGAGTGATAGAGCCAGAGCCTGAACCTGCCAGGAGGTGCCAAACTCCCCGTGATGTAAATGCGTTATGAACGTATGGCTGGGAGGGAGGTGGCTACTTCAAAGGGATGATGCTTATTCATGTATTAATAGAAATCAACACACAGCAGGTCGTTCTCCCGAAACTACAGAACAGGAGACGAAGGACCAATAAATTATACCCAGCAATAGGGGCAGGACCATGTTTGCCAGTTTCCATTGGTTGCGGAACAACACAACGACACCAGCTCACTGAGCTAAGCTGTCTGCTTCCTCACCCTTCCCAGTGCCAATCTCGCTCTAACGGTTAAGAAGATGGCTTGGATTTATTAAGATTTATGATTTCTGGCCGATTCTCCAGATTCCATCCTCGGCCCCAAAGTCTACAGTCAGTTCACTTGACAGTGTATCCCGTGAAGCGCTTTGAGACGTCTCGAAGACGTGATAAGGCGCTATATCAAGTGCAAGGATTATTATTAGTAGTAAGTCTTCACACTGAAAATGGACTCTATAGTTACTTAGAAAATACAGTAACATATTTGGAAATATAGAGGGTTTATCAGACATGAACTGTTTTGGTGGTGGGAGTGGGGGGGGTGTCTCTGTGACATACTATATCAGTATCTAAAAATCCTGCAATAGGGAGCCCATGATTCCTTCTCTTCCATTGTAAAATGAGAAGGGAGGATGGTGATCTGAGGTCTGCTGTGCGTGGAAGGAGATCACAGTATTGACGCCAATAGGAGAGACTCAAACTATGGCCACTGTCTCCCTGACTATCACTTCCTTGGTGTAGTCGGTCGAATGATCCAAGGAGGTCAAATGGGAGAAGTAAAACAAAATGAGAAAAACATACTTTGAGGGCAGTTTTGTGTCTTGAAGATATGCTTTGCTTAAAAGGTAGGAAGTTTACTTGAGAATTGTACTCATTACAAAGGATGAGAATTGCAGATTGCAATCTCATTGCCCTGATACAATACGTGGAAACATCTAACCACAAAGTCAATTGAGCGAGTTTAGATTAAAGTCTAGAAATGAGTTTCCTGAGCAGCCTGGTGGTGGGGCTGTAGACTATGTCATGGAAGTGGTATTCAATTGCACTGGTTATTTATTACCAGTGCAATTTTAAGTGTATAAATAACATGACATTTACAATGTAGAATGAAATTCTACTTTTGAAATTCCATTTCAGTGATTTCCAATTGCACAGAGACAAACCTCTACATTTGATGTTTGGCTCACATCAGAGAGACCTAATCTTAAAGATGGAACCACAACGACAGTAAGAAATTACATTTGTATAGCGCCTTTCACGTCAGGAGGACATATCAAGCTGCTGAAAACCAATTAGGTGTGAGATGAGATATTTTCGGCCACAAAATACACAGCCAATCCACTTTATAATATATCCTCTGCAGCGCTTCAAAATGTCTCAATGATGTGTAAAAGCGCTATACCAAATGCAAGGATTATTATTATTATTATTATTGTGAGAATGTGGAATACTTTGATCCAGAAGGCCGAAAGGCAGAATCAAGTGGGTGTTTAAAAGAGATTATTGGAAAGTAAAATCATTAAAGATTAAGGAGAAAAGCAATATTTTTTCAGATTAACGGGTCTGCTTTGATGTAATTAATAATCCTTGCATTTGATATAGCGCCTTATCCTGTCTTCTAGACGTTTCAAAGCACTTCACTGAATATACTGTAAAGTGTATTGATTGTATATTTGTGGGCGAAACACAGCAGCCAATTGTCCCACAAACAGCCGTGGATTGAGTGACCAAATTACTATTTATTTATTTTTTCTTGAGGGATTATTATCAGACGTGTGGAGTAAGGAAACCTGCTGGGAATCGAACCCAGGCATCTCGCTTACGAAGGCGAGTGCTCTAACCACTGAACTACAGGACTCCATTAAATAGCAGAACAGGCATAATGGGCTGAATGGTCTCCTCCTGTCACTATGAATGCGTGTGAATTTTGGAGGAATTTGGGGAAAAACGCATAGTCACTACACTTTGCAGTGTGTCCTGTGAAGCACTTTGGGACGTCTTGAAGACGTGGTAGGGCGTTATATCAAATACAAGGATTATTATTATTATTATATAGAAAATTGCGGACACTAAAAATAAACAGAAAAATACCAATCTGGAAATAAAATGCATCCCTATCGGACCAATTCATCAAATGGTAGGAAAATGATGCATTTTTTCCCCCCGTCTCAGTCACAAAATATGACTGACCTTGCTCCTCAACGGAAGATGCGTTTGAAATCAAGAGACAAACAACGTCAGGGAAAGCTGGACTGTCCCCAAGTGCGTGACAGGCTTCCCTTGGGACGAAGGGGAAATTAAATAAGTGCAGTTTGTGTAAATAAAAACAAGAGGGCCTATTCCAGGTTGGTACATTCCCACATTCACGGTATGTTTTGCAGTGCTTTGCCACAACTTTCCCTCCTTCCTGCTCCCTCCCTCCCTCTCTCCCTCCCTCCTAACTTCACTGTTCAAATCAAGATTCATCCCATTCCTCTAACGCAGTTCTTTCCCAGGATCTCAAGACTGTGGAACCCCACCTCCTTCAATCTGCAGGCTTCTAGACCTAAGTGGGGTAAAATTTAAGCTTAAATGTGAGCCCTCCAGGACACTACCCCATGTGAAGGGCACTATACCAATAAACAAAATTTTGAAGAGATAAATCCCGAAGAGCTTTGGCGTTTTGAGGCTGTGCAGTTTATATAGTGGGGTTGAAAATATGACATTACCGAAAGTACTTCAGACCATACAGTGACTCTCAGGAGGAACGTGGACCTATTATTGACTGGAGATTGCTAAGAGGAGACTTCTCTCAGCTCAGCATCATGTAGGTGAGGGTTCCCTGCAGGAGTTAAGACTTCACATCACGACGCACTTTCAGGCATCATTCTCATTTCCACTTTTAAATGAGAAAATTTTAAATTCCACCTTGAGCACATTTCCAATCCCAGTCTCACGCAATGTATAAGCTAGTGGAAACTACTTTACATCGCTTTACATTACTTTGCACAGCAATTATTCTCCAGCCCACGAGAACTAGACCACAAAATGTAGCAATTTCCTATAAAATTATTCAAAACCACGTGAAATTAGTTTACAACGGATAACCAAAATAACCCACATTTGACCTCAGTACCTAATTCACCGCAGCACGACCTGACCGCATTGAGTTACACCGACATTGTTGCACCATGATGTATATTATCACAGCAGGGATCAGTGTATGTGCACTTACATATGTGCCCAGTACTCTGCTAACTTGAGTTCAAATGCTGGTGAAACGGTTTATAATTCATGAAAGGTGCAACCGTGTTTTAATCTGATAAAGATGAGAGCTCCTCCACCAGTTAAGTTATTAAAGCTATTGTCGGAATCTAGGAATAGAAGGATAACGTGCCTCCAAACAAAAAAAAAATTGCTCTTTACAGTAAATTCTGCAAAGCACTTTGAGACCTCCTCCTGACTCGAATGGCGCTGTATCAAGGTCAAACATGATTATTATAATTCAATTGGGGCTCCTGCTCCCGATTGGGCATCCCCTTGCCCCCTCTCTCTCTAGAACGTATCCGTATCTGGATATTGGGTGATAGCAGGCTCGACTCTCCCACTCTCCCAGGCACATAGCCTGACACTGTGTAGATCACGCAAAGAGTGGACATTCGACATAGAGAGCACTGACTGGGTGACTGAGGAAATGTACTCGAGCAATAATCTGTGCCTTCATAGGCAGTGTTTTTTTTTTAGCCCCGGTGGTTATTAGTGAACAGGTGGAGTCTAATATGCGCTTTACTCTGAAAAGGCAGAATGTTCAGTTTTCCTGCTGTATCTCAAACCATTGCTGAACAATCTGCTTTTGAATGATACGAGACAAAGGCTCCCGTGGGAGAGAGGCACAGTGTGAACTTCACAGATTTCCATGAGATTGTGAAAAGCTGGAAAGAGGAAGACTATAACATGCCCATCGCTATCTCTTTTCACTCAGTATGTAGGAACGTGAATTGAGGAATCCTCACAATCTGGGGGTGGGGGGGAGGCTGGGGGGGAGAAATGGGAAAAAAAGAATGGGTACGAGTTAAACAATCCGTTTCAACAGCCTCTCACAACACAGATATCTTCAAATGAGGTTATTCCAACGTGGATTATGTCAGTCCTTCTCCCTCCCTCTCCCCACCGCATTGCTAACGGCTAAGGTTTGAATGCCAATGTGCCCCTTTCCACTGTGAGCAATCATATCTGATGCGAGATAGACTCTGCTGCGAAACAGTTTTCAATGCTGCGCTCCCTCTTTTGTTACAGACAGCAACTACCTTGGCGTCACCACCCAGGCTATTTCATGTCATCAGTGCCAAAGCAGTGTTCCCACAAGGTAAAGTTAAGGCAGTAAATGAGCTGTGGAAAGGGAATTCCTTCCGTACCCTGCAAGCAGAAAGGCCCATGAGCTTACCTTAGTGGAGGCCATCTCACTGACAGAATGCCTGGTTTGCAAGGTCTCCAGCTGGTCTAAACACCAGTCAAGTTCCTCCAGCGTCTCGATGGCCAGTTTCTGATAGTTCTCCTCTGAGGACAGACAGACAGACATTCAGATCTCTGATCACCTGCACCTGCATTGCCCACGGCTCTAACACAGGGCAGATTTGGAATACACTCAAGGAACCCCCTTCATCAGCTTTCAATTCGGAGCATTCAGAGATTCCACTCATCGGTTCCCACTTTCAAACAGAAGAAAGAAAACCTCTGTGGCCTTTCCTGAGCTGGATGTACAATTTATCAAAGCATCCGACTTCTTTACTTCTTTCCAGTGATTTGAACGAGCCGGTTACAAGTGGAGAAAAAGTGTCGTTTTTATATTCTGTGTTTCCTATACGAGCAAAGCTTTCACCAGCTCGATTGAATTCTTCGGATGGCTTTTTCAAACAGTCGGATTATTATTATCATTTTTTTTTAACAAAAAGAAGATCTTCACGTCGAGGTTCAGCTATTACGAGTTGACGTTGTTCAGATCGACAAACAGCACAACCTACATCCCGGTGCCTTGCTGTGGGTCAGCATGGAAACTGAAGACAGGCAGCGAAAGGAAGAGAGGCATTTTGATCGACTTTCAGCAAAGCCCCTCCAGAAAAAGTGTAAAATAAAACAGCATTTGGAAAGATATAGCCAAAAAGGACAATAGCATTTCTTCAAGCGCACAACGTCGCGATTCCAGTCTTGCTGAAGTAAGTCAAAGGTTGTAACACATTCTGACAGACTGATTCGGGGGGAGTTGGGGGGGGGGGGTCAGAAACCCTGGAGGAACCCGGTGACTGAATGGGAAGTTGATCTAACCAGACTCTCAGGAAGATACCTACAGACTTGTGCTCTGGCTTGGGCACACAGCCTGCGGCAGGGAAACGCTCATTGTGAATGAGGGACTTACTGGAAATTCTGTCATGGAGTTGAGCGACGAGGATCTGGCCATTTACACAATAAAAACTTTCAGACTGGAAGATCGAGGAGGCAGGGGTTGTCTGACACACACTGTTCACTGATACCAGCAGCATTTTTTTTGTTCCAAGTCCGACTTGAAGCTTCAGCCAAATATAAATGGGCACATTAGTGAGCAATGTGTGTTATAGCTCAATGAATGAAGACGAGACTTAAAAAATAAGCTCTATTTTACCCAATATTCCTTGAATTTGTTACAGCGCTTTATCAAGTCCCCGAGGTGTCTCAAAGCGCTTCATAAAAAATATACTGTAAAGTGGATTGACTGTATTTTGTGGGTGAAACGCTGCAGCCAGTTTGAGACAAACCTGAATTGCTAGGACAGGTACCAAGCTGCAGGGATATTATATCAAATCAGCAAATCACAAAATATTCAATGCCTGTGGTCTGAAAAACTTCTCAATCAGAAACTGATCGAGGGATTCAAGAAGAGATGGACAGATACTTGGAAAGTAGAAATGTTGAAAGATGTGGTGAGGTTGCAGGTAAGTGGGATTGACAAGGTTGTTTCGCTCACAAAATATACAGTCAATTCGCTTTACAGTATAGTCTGTGAAGCGCTTTGAGACGCCTCGAAGACGTGATAAGGCGCCATATCAAATACAAGGATTATTATTGTTGTAGTCTGCAGTGCTATGGAATGATCCATGGAGTGCGCTTGATGGGGTGAATGATCTTCTGTTTTTCAATTCATATCTAATCCTATATAATACTGATTATCACTTCCCACGGGTGCTGTATTATGGAGTGCTGGCGAGCATTTAATAAAAGTTACTGAAGCCTCACCACAAGCACAGAAATGGGTTAAACTGATTCAAAAGTTGCCTGCGAAAGCTGCCTGGGCAGGCAAGGAGAGAAAAGCAAAGTGCTTGGGAGCAAAGAGTCTGCTCCGATGGCTGAACCTGACATTTTTATTAATGGCCCGACTGACGTCAATAGCATGCTTAGCATACTCACTGCGGCATGAGAGGCAGCCCTCTCTGGGCTCCCCAGGTACATGCCAGATGGCACGAGGAAAATCCCGGCACAGAGTCTTGGCTCGGGGGGGTGGGGGGTGGTGGGGGGGGGGGGGGAAGGAGGGAGCAAGTAGTGAAGTGAAGTACTCTAGTGAAGTAGTATTTCAGAAATGTCCAGAATTTGGCAAATTGCTGAATTCAGTGCTAACTATGAAACCGGATTGGTGTAGTTCTTCCAGGAAGCTTACAGCTTACTTACAGCAAAACTGTGAAGCGTTCTGAGACATTTTTAACGTAAGAGGCTTTATCAAGTGCGAGGATTATTCTATATTATTGATAAATGCGAAATCTCGATTAGCAGATTTCGCATTTACCAATATTGCAGGCCGTTTAAGAGTGAAATCAGGAAGCATTTTTTCACTCAAAGGAAATCTGGAATTCTCTTCCCCAAAAGGCCGTGGATCCCGGATCCATCCACACCTTCAAGAGTGAGGTTGATAGATTGTTGGTAGGTCAGGTTATTAAGCGATATGAGGAGAAAGCAGTAAATTGGAATTGAAAGGATTAGTTGAGGCAGATCAGCCAAGATCTAATTAATTGGGGGAACAGGCTTGAAGGGCTGAACGGCCTCCTCCTGCTCCTATGTAGCGGTTAGCATAAATTGGACGTGAATTGGCGTTGATAACTCGTTTGCCATCTGGTGAAATAAACAGGGAATGGGTTAAGCGATTCAAAAAGGAATTGAACAAGCTACAGGATTCCCTCAAGCCGAGATGAATAGCCTTTTCCCGTTTCCTATGTGCTTATTTGAACACCTCTTTTCTTGTGTCTCCTGCTCTTCCCCTGAGATGCTGTTTCTTGCTGAGATACAATTTGAGTGCCCCTGCCGTTTCCAGCATCTCACCTAAGCCCATTTTGTATCCATGAGCCTGATAAGCTGAGTGTGCTCTCAGGGATAGGCACAGGAACAGGGTATCTGATACAGTACGCAATCTGCTATGGAGAAAACACTCACCTGACACGTTTGCCCAGCAGTTTGAGCTTTGGTTGCATCCTGACGATCTTCTGAAAAAAAAACAGAACCAAAATACAACATGGATTTAGGTAAGCAACGGGTCCCTTCAGGGAGAGAGTGTATATTCCATCCCCTTCTCTGTCCAAAATGTATCCAAATCCACTAAATCTTTAGGTGCTGAACTATGCGGAAGCGCCATTTACAAACAGTTCCACCTCCTAGCACAAAACGGATTTGTATCCTTACAAATTCCCGCGTAACTTTTCATAAGGGACAAGACAAGAGCACTTGCTGCTCCATTGCAACGCACCTCTTGAATTAAACCCGATTGTCCGGTGGGAAACAGTATTATTGAAGGCTTACCTGTTCGGCGTCTTCTCTTGTAAATTTGTCAACGCCGCAAAGTTGTTCCTTACAGTCCGTAAACTTGCCAGCACCTACAGAAAAAAAAGTCAAGAGATTAAGATTGACTTTTTAATCGAATACTAGGATCAATAAAAATGCGAAAATATAGCTGGACCACACTATAATATCTGACACGTATAATATGCGTCAAACAAATGTGTAGCACCCTGCCGTGATCTCTGCCTTAAATACTCTTGACTAATTTTGAAACCTATAAACTTCCAGGTCAGTGTTATTCCAGGGTAGATGCAGAGTAACATCTACGTTAACCTAATAATGTGCCTTATTTTCTATTGCGGCTTACCCTCTCTGCTTATTCTCTACTTCCCGTAACATGGGAAAGTTTCTCTACGTCAGCTTGAACACTGTACAAAATATCCTATTCCTATGCCTACGACAGCCAACAACTGTGGCATCTCTTAGTTAGATTGAGAGTTTAGCCCTGAATTAAGAGGACATTTTCTATACTGTGAGCCCAACCATACACTGGGCACTGAGTTGACATTGGCTCCTAAATTAATTTTGGACAGTGATGCTTAACGGCCAATTGACGGAGGCTTTCATTTCACCCTTCTCGCTTAGATTTGACTCTGGGGGTTGGAGATGAAAGGACATTGCCTGACCCACTGTAACACTGTCCATAGTTGGGGTTGTTACCATGTGAGTGAACCTCCTACAACCTATAGCCTTTTAAAATCTAGGTTCCATATCACCCATCCACTAATTCTTCATTTAGTTAGTTCTTTGGTAAATGATTTAGTAACCCACAACACTACAAAAATGCAAGTTATTTTTTTCTTTTAGCCCTAGCAGTGGGTCTTGGCCTTTCACCCGCGTTTCTAAATTTGAAAAAAGTTCAACTTCATTGATTAAGCGAAGAATTGATTAACATAAATGACACTTTTAAACTCCGCACTTGGCGTAACCGGGTGTCTCATGTAAATAAGACAACCAATATGTACTCGGCTAAGGGGGTCAACAAAATACTGTACCTTTTCTTTAAAAGCTCTATTTGAGCAGCTTAGAAAGTAGAGAGTCACGGGTTTCTACCAGATACACCGGTTTAATGCGAGTTGCAGTTTGCTACGCAAAGTCACTCCAAGGAATCTTATTCTGCTTAAATGCCACGATTGAATTGGCAATTGTGGGCTGGACTCTGTGTTTTACCTCCTACCCTGAGTTCCTACGTCCTGCAGTTCTCTCATTTCCACTCTGGCAGCTCAGTGCAGAGATAGAATTACAGGGTTTTTTCTGATCAGTAAGGGACAGTATTACACCATAAAGGAAGTATGCACACAGGCCTGTTCCCAACACATTTGCAGAAGAAACTGCTGTGCAGAACTGATTTGCCGCAGGCATTTAAGAAAATAACTGACTCTCTCAATAAACCCCTTAATAAGGAACAGATTAAAATTAACATACCAATAAATCTAAACTAAACAATAATCCACAATGTCAATAAATAAGATTCATTACTGCAGGGACCATGGAACTCACCAATCCTAAATTTCCCTGGATGTCTACCCTGGTTCATTTCATATCCCTGACTTTCCCCGAATAGGTTAATAAACTTGGTCAACTGGTAGAACGACTCATTCAAACACATTTGAAATAGATGTTTGAACTTTTAAGAAGAGTAATGGATGGAATGAAAGCCCTGGTATTATGTTCTTAAATGGCGCAGGGATTAAAATTTTAGCTCTGTTGACACTCACAATACCTCACGCAATGAAAGATGAGAAGGAACAAAATGAGTGGGACTTGTGGTAAGGTAGTCACTGCCCCATGTGTCTCTGGGCCTACTGATAGGCTGCCTGGCTGTGGATGTTCCTATAGGAATGGTCCTTGCCTCATGTTGGCAACTGAATATGATGGAGGGTTTGGAATCGGATCACAATGCAGTGAATTGTGGATGCAGACCCATCATTGTTGCTCAGCGTGCTAGAGCATTGCTGAGAGTAATACTTGAGCCAGTCAATAATTGTGCCCACCTCCCCCACAAGATGTTAGTAACACTGCTTTAGAACTTCCTGTTCTACACTCACACTTGAAGGAAGATGTTTATACTGACTTTTGTGCCCTTATATTCTTCTTTTATCTCCTTCCTAGGCTCAGTAGCCTCACCATCTACCTCTGTTACCAAATCTTTATGACAATTTGAGCACCAGTCCAAACAGGAGATGGCCAGGTTATACTTTCTGTGGCATCTGAAACATCCAAACATATTCACATGTATAAAGAGATAGTTAACTGCCTTGGGTGCCCTCGTTCCCTAGCAACCGATCATCAACTGCCGTTCAAAAAAAGTGGCCGCTCAGTTTCATCGCTCGTGATTGGCTTCTGCCGACTTTGGGCCGCGATTGTCCATTGTTCTGAGGCGGAGAGGAACTGTCACTCGAGGGATCCTCACCAATCGTACGGCTGGTTTCGGGGGCAAGTGAATGACAGTGGTGAGAACAGAACCATTAATGGGCGATTTCTCTTGAGGTTCATTCCCGACGAGGAAGATCTCACGCTTGGAAATGCGCAAGATCCAGGCAGCGATTTGCGATGGGAGGGGTGCGCGGGCGTGAGGGCAAAGGAAAGGGAAGCTGTGGCAGTCACATACAGTAGTTACAAGATTCCTCTGCCATTGGGGTGGAAGGGTCCTGTATATGTAAAGGTCCTGCGTGAAAGGAGTTTGTGGACAGTCTAAACCAACTCCCAGTGGGTGTGGGATCACAGCACAAATCTAACCATAGTTTGTCATTAAATTGGGGATCTCACTCTGAGATCTTCAGGGGTTGTTTATTGTCTGCCTCTCCTTGTTACCAACCAGACTTGCACTACAATGGCTTTTTGGGCCTCCATTCACGCTCTGCCCAATCTCTGAAGTATCGTGGCTTTCATTTCTATTATTTGGTCATAATCAGAGGAACTTCACCATGATGACAGTCATTCAATCTTACTGAATTTTACATCTCATCTCGTACCGTCCTATTCTTAAAGGGGTCATGTTCTGATAAAGTGTTTGGTAAACCCTTTCCTGTTCATTTACAGCGACCTTAATCCTACATGAACACATCATTCCATCACCTGCATGTGGCATCTTTCCAACAAGGAATCTTGCTCTACCCAAAGAAAACCGGATGTCAAATGTTTCCCCCACCCCCCCCACCCCGGAACACTATGTCCCTTTACTTTGTCATGTTCTCTAATTAATGTACATTAAACAAAATAAGAATTTTCTCAGATTAATTTGTAGCTTTTGTTCTAGTGAATTTTGTGCTTGTTGGAGATTAAAGAAGTTGGTGCTGGGAAACACTCACAACGACAATAACAACTTGCATTTATATAGCGTCCTTCATGCAGATTAGCGTCCCGGAGTGCTTAATGCCTCCTAGTAGTCAGTCACAAGAAGGCAGGATCTCTTGCCAGGGATACAGATGGCTATGGCACAACACATCTTAAGAGTGGAGAGGGTAATAGAAACAGATACCACTTTTCTTTCCTTTGAGTGGAGACAGAGATTATAATACTTACTTGAGCAAATGGGGTCACAATCATGTCTTCTGCATGGCTGAAACCAAAAGACATATCATATGTTCATTATTGTTACTGAGCAGGAGCACAGTGGATTGTACTGAACAGAAATCCGGTGAAAGACACTGATGTAATGAATTAAGAGTGAAAGCCTCTGACAACTGGTTAATCGATGATAATCGACTGGTCAATCAATAAGCCATTGGCCGTTAAGGGTGCAATTAGGTGGGATCATCCAGGGAACAGAGTTGCGTTCATCATAAATACTCACTCTTCACCCCAAGCTCCATTCTACTTAGATCAATAGTTCCCAAAGCAGAAACAAGAGGGTTCAATTTTTTTTTTACACACTCATTCTGAAACAATCCTCTCTGTTCAAGCTCTCTCCCTCAAGCCTATCTTGTCTTTTCTGATCGATTGCTTCTCAAAATGTTTCTCGCTTGTTCCTTCTAGGTTTTGAATATTCATCGCACTTACTGATCCTGACTCACTTCAGATCCAGTCGAACACTGTGCTCAGCTTATCTGCACTTGGTAAGGAAATAAAACAAATAATCCTCTTTTGACTTGGATTATATTTAGACTTTATTGGATAGTTGTCCCTTGCAAGCTGCATGATATTGTACATAGCTGTAAATTCAGAGATTATGTGATAACAATCACACTGTCAAACAATGGAGCTTGCTTCTATTTTTCTGCTTTCCCTCCTTCTGCCAACCCAAAGAATCCAGTCAGAGCCAAACCAATATTTAAGGTTGGTAAAACCAAGCAAAATAAACATTCCTGCCGGGCAGCAAGTTTGATAGAGTAATGAATGAATGAATTACTTTTAATGTACTATAAAATTTAGAGCTTTAGGGTTGAACTGAAGAGAACGAACGTTAGAGTGGTGAATCCAAAGAGAATTGGGGGATGATAAGGTTGATAATTCCAGCAATTATAAAAATAACAAATAATGAAACAAGCTCACATTCATAAACATTAGTCCAATTTTTTTTTACAGCTTTAACACTCAATGTAGATACCCAGCTGGAGTTGGCATCCAGTAGATATTTGTTAAAACCTTGGGATAATATTGCTGGAAAGTAACAGGATTGCTGGGTATAAAAGAGCTTAAAAAAGCCCCATTAGCAAGTTTTGAATCAAACTCAGCCTCAGGTATAAGTCATCTTTGCACGATCCACCTGTGAGTTTTGTTCAGTAAATCAGACTGATAATAAAGCAAGAGAAAGGCAATCAGGAAGGGATGTCACAGCTCATTGATATTCTGTTATAATATGCTTTTTTTTTTGCACACAATTCCCACCAAAATAGTATGTTTTCAACCTTGCCAGTGGCCGACGGGATTCAGCATCAAACAGAAGTCAATTTCTCCCAAACATGAAAGAAAGTTCCTTTTGGGAATAGCTAACCAGCCAAGAGGCATTCCTGTGCACCTGCTAGCAGCTGGTAATGGAAAGCCTAGCTGTTAAGACACAAAGATAGAGAAGAAAATGGAGACAGTCTGACTTACAGAGACAGTTTAGCAAATAGAGTAAAGCTAATGATTGCAAACTGGGACATTGGCGAGTTAACAGTCAGTAAAGTAGAGGTGTATTCACTTCCATTTTTGTCATGCAACCTCATTGAGCCATGAGGGACATTCTTAGTCGAGGACTAAGGTCATTATTTTGCCTCATTAATTAAAAGGGATTTGCTGGATATCTTTACAGGAATGTTCTGTCCCTTTAAAGGTGTGCTTTTAAATCTCACTGTGCTGAGTGAGAAATATCTCTAGCTGAAATAATCTAGAACCGGTGGTGATCACCAAGGAAAGCAATGGTCCAATAAGCACTGCGTTAAAGGTACACTCTATCATATAGAGTTTCACTGTCTTCATTAAAGTGATTTATGCCATTTATAGCGTTTTGTATCCACAGAAGTTGTTAGATAAACATTTCAGAAGACCTTCAATGGGTTGCGAAAATTCTTGAGATGTATTGAATAACTTAGTAGAAAGTCATCGCATACCTCAATTAAAGGCCATACAAGTCAATCATGAGGCCAGAAGGTTAGTTAGGCTCACACTTCCAGGAAGAGAAGGATATTTCAGAAATTCTGTCAATGTTTGTGAGAGGCGTGAGCAACTGTTGGATCTTGTATTCTTAAACCAACAGATTGCTCAATTCCCAGATGCCCAATACTAGATTTAAAGCATTGAAGTTAAGAAAAAGTACAGTAACAAGCTTCTGAGTCTAGATATCTCGAGCCGCCAATTGAAAGTCTATTAAATTGGAATATTCAATGTATTCTAGCGACATCTAGTGGAAACGATAGGTACTGCACAAGATTCACAACCGGCTCTGGGAATCTTTGATCTTGTCCTCATGAATTTGGATGTCAGAAGTCCTTTGGATGTACAACTGAGTTGAACATACACAGTTGCTCCATTTCAATGCAAAAATCTAAAGAAAGATGTAAATCCCATGATCACTTTTCAGCCACATACGATTGGTGGGAGTGTTGGAGCACGTTTTTCTTTGGGCAGTCAGAATTTTTTTTTCCTCCTTCTTTTGTTTTCTCACGTTTGCTTGCAAATCGGGTAATTCAGGAAAATGGGGGGTTGGGGAGGGGGTGGGGGTGGGAGTAGCATGTGTGGTTGTTAATGGAGGTGGGCGAAAGGAGTGACAACGTGGTGATGGGAGCAATCTCAAACTGGTGGGTGCGGACACACTCTGACCTGTATGGCGTGTAGTGGAGGAGAGGCCGCAAGCATCCATTTTGACACATTGGTGTGGAGTGGAGGCTGAATCGTCTAATCGATTTGATAATATATTTTGAGAGATAAAGGAGGTATTGTCTTGAGGTGATAGATGATTCATTCCTTCTGTACTATTGTTGCTGGATTTCTGAATTAATAATCAACTTTTTTTTAAAAAAAGAGAGAAAATCAAATGTTCCTCGTGGAGTTGCTTACTCACGCTGGCAGAAGATGTTGACGAGAACATCCCTATTGCCACTGTAGCCAAAGCTAATCTTTAGATGGGGCAGTGCTTTATGTTGTCACCTTTGGCCTCTGATCCTGTGCCTCTCTTCTCCCTATACAGCTCCCAGTGAATCTATTAAGGATGCCAAACTGTAGTCTGAATCCTGCACTGAAGATGTAATTTGAAATATTTTTTCTTGGCCGGAATGTAATGGATTTCAAAAGCACACCTCCACTCTCCCTGGTCTCTCACACACCAACACACAGGTCAGTTATGTCTCTTGGGTTAGTAGGCTGTGCTAGGTTTGCAAGGCTGGAAATTCTAGGGCCTCGGCGTTCACTTACTTTCCAAATGTCAAGGCTAGGACTGGCTCAGATTGTCGCGCTGCCAAAGCTGGCCTTGGGTGAGCCTTGAAATAGCTACTCCTGGTAATGAGGGGACAAAACCATTGGACAGGTCAGTATTTTCCCACTGGTTGGACCTGGTACTTGTTGGTTCATGGTTCATCTTACCTGGAGACCTTTAAAGTCGTTTCCTCCACAAGTCTGATAATGACCCGCTGTGGCCCTTGCAAGTGCGTGAAATGTCTACAGTGGATACATTCAGCACAACTTACATTCTCTGCAATGTGTGATAATTGCTCCTCTTGTGTCGTAATGGATCTATATAACTTGTGTTAAATTGATGAGCACCATCTCTACAATGGAGAAATGGTACTTTCAAGGCCATCTGATATGCCAGTCAATCAACTAGCCTCCTCTGCCATTGTGGGCCACCATTTTACACATTAAAATTCATGTGTCGAGTCAGTACCCTTATCAGCCGTTTAGTACCAAGTGCCAGAAAATGATTCCCCTTTAACCCATTGTGTCCTGTACCTACAGGACCTGATGGTGAGTCGTATAACAATTCTCAAACCAAACTTTGATCTAAATCACCTAACATCATCTCAATGAGAATGAAACAAACAAGATATGTGTCCTGGCAATTTGAAAGTAACATATTTCTGGTGGAGGCTTCAGTAAAGGAATAAACCATTCATCTAAACTATGAGTCTCGTCCCACCAATTACAACAATTCCCACACATACAGCGCCTTTCTTTACATACGGATACCAATGTGTTAACCTGGAGCAATGGGCTAAACAAAATCACTTACATGTCACTTGCGATGGAGGAGTTTCGGGACATGTTCTTGGGCGAGATGTCATAATCGCTGTCGGAGCGGTACAGGAATGATTCCCGCCGCTGACTGTGGGTGAAATTCGCCTGTAAAATGAGTCCGGAACCGGGACTTGTTTGAAGATCCAGTGGACTGCGTCCTGCAGAGAGGCCATTTTCAACATCAAAGCTGGAAGAGAAACGTGAAAGATGGAGGCTCAAGTGGAGGCATAGACCATTGATCCAAAATACGATCTCGTCACACCAAATTGCAACAATTTCCACATATACAGCACTGAGCAGTAAGTGAAACCTTCCTCTCGTTTTCTGAGTTTAGCTGCTGGATGGAGAACAGGATGGAAGAATGTCCCACCCTCAGCACCAATAGTCTCCAGAGCACGCACAAGCGTTAAATAGCTCTGTTTACACAAATGCATTGAGTCAACCTTTTTTTTTCTAACTGGGCAATTGGAAATGCAAAGCTGGTTGTAACTTGTGTTACTGCGGCATGACATGGAAATGATGTGGTACAAGTCGATTCATGTCATGTTTATAAACAAGCCGTAAACCACTTTTTCATGATGACCAGCACCTTGTTCAGTCCTCATTCATCACCTTGCTACGGGCAGTGAACTCAATCTGCAGCCATTAAAAATAAGGATCGACCACTTCTTTCCTGACCAATCTAGTTCAGACGGGATTGTTTCTCAACAGTGGAGAAGAGATTGCGTTTGCTGATTGCTGTGTAACCGTACACTTAATGCAGGGCCACGAGGATACACTCACAGTCACAGGTCACCTTTGTTTCCTCCATCTGATACCACAACCAGCACACACTGCTCCACACGTGCACAATGCGCCTTCATTCACCAAACACCCGAGATTGTTGCGAACGTGATCATGGGCGTCTGCCGCTAAAGTTATGGTACCAAACTGATGAAAGTAAATGAAACACCATACAAGTGGGAACCCACAGCAAGACACTGTGGAATGCCCTGGCTAATACGCAGTCTTGGTGAATGAAGGTGGGGTTTTCAACAGCTTCCGAACTATCATTCAATGTACTCAGCAACTACCTTCCTCTGATGCGTTAGGCGTGAATTGACTGTGCCGCACGGAACTGAATGGACAGTTGCTTTAATGCACAAGATGTACGCACGCAAGCCTTCTTGACATGACTGATCTACTTAACAAAATGTTCTACTCTGATTGAACACATGGCTGTTTTTCTTCCCCTTTGAAAGGCTCTATCTACATGTAATTTGTTGTTGTTTAAAAAGCGCGAGTGACTCACGTTGATTTGACAGTTGCAGTCAGCTGAGGCCCCAAAACACCTAAAAATTTATGATTGTTAGAATCTTTTTGGAAAATTCTTAAATTCAACTTTAGTTTGACCCTCGTCACTCCCCCAAATAAAAAAAATGCAGACATTTGCCAAACGATTGGTTTCACCCCGGGAAAATCTGCCTCTTGAAACCATTCATCACACGTGCTCACAAACAAAAAACTCAGTTCATTTCAGAACATTAACAGCAATAACTAATCCAAAATGATATCTGTGGTTAATGTGTCGGCCACAGAATTGCCATCCAAATTGCACCGTAATTACTCCCGAGAGCCATAGGTTTGCCATTATTCTTAATTATTCCCCTTGATGCAGTCTCAGCTTGTCACCTTGACAGAGTGATACAGGATTGGCAAGACAGACAATCATTGTGCCAAAGTTGTATGTGGTGGGCTGTTGCATTAGAGTCTGTACTGACTTGTCAAATCAATCCTTGTTAACGCAGAGCTGCTCATCAGATCTGCATCCACAGCCCCATTCCACAGGAAATGGCTTGTCATTTTCAAGGGGGCGATTAAAGCGTAAAGAGGGAACTTGCATTTTTATGCTGCCAAAATATTGCATCTCTAAGGACTTCAGAAGTAATTCAAGTGGAGTATAATGACTTGTTTTTGTAGGCAACTGCAGCAGACATTTGTGGACCACAAGATCCCACAAACGAGCGTGAGGAAAATGATCTACAGATCCAGAGGATTGTTGGTCAGGACACCAGGAGAAGCTCCCTCCTCTTATGAACTTGCTGATGTTGACAAGGAACGTACACACTCCATCTCACCGAGAAAATTTGGCGACAAATTGAAAAATTCACAGAACAGGTTGTAAGGAAGAGTTCAGGGATAGTGAAAAAGTTTAACAATGGGAAACATGTTCACACGACACACACACATAAAAAAAAATTGCACGGCTTTGCAGAGCCCTAAAAAGCTGCCTAGAAAACTTTCAATCACCGCAATGAGTGGAGGGGAGAAATCACACCCACAAATAACAACTCTTACTATCCAATAGACATTCATCACATCGACAAGGAAGATGGTGAAGTTCAGACTGTGCAGTGTCTGCAGGATGAAGGAGCTGAGAGTAGGAGACAACAAGGGGAGATGCTATCAGAGCATTTAAAGAGATACATTTAAATGTCTGGTTAATTCAGCACAAATCATCTTTTTTTGGTGGGGAAGAGTAAAAGAAAAAAAATTCCGCCCTCAGCTTCTGCTGCTTTAAGCTGATTGCTGCAGGGTTGATCAGTTAGCGAGCATGCCTTGTGCACGTAGCAGATAAGCCAGTCTGTCTTAAGACAGCCCCATTCATGGTAAGGTCTTGAACGAAATTCAAAACCACAGACACAGCAGCAGAGTTATCGGGTGACAGCTCAGCCTGCTGCTTCCTCCTCCATCCCCCCCCCCCCCCCCCCCACACACACACAAACACACACACATGTTCTGCCACAAGGCTCAGTGCTAAGGCTTACTTTTAACCCAATGTGGACCACTGCACACTCAATAAAAGTTTAACCCCTGGCACCAAACGTGCCTTAGTCGAGCTCTGAAGTTCCGCAGTCTCACACAAGGCAGCTGGTTTTGGGAGATAGAACATCTCTCATTGGGGAAGAAGTAGGAGCTCCTGATGATGGAGCTCAAGCCCATTGTTGATCCAGTGTAGAGTGAGTTTAGTTCTGTAACCGCAGCACGGTATTTGACCTGGAAATAGTGCTGAATGCAAATGCGACAAAGGTCCATAATGGGAAGGCAACCCATTCCCGGGCACTCACGTTCTTGAGCACAAAATTCAATCGGAAACGAAGGCTGCAATATACTCAGACGTCCCTATCAAAGCGGTTCGGTAGGCCATGCTTCACTTTGCTACTGTTGAAATTCAGTCAACAAAGGGTTAAGTAGTTTAATGTCACCGTATGCTCTTTTGTGTTTGGTTTAAAGGAAAATAATCAATATGGATTTTTACTTTTCTTGCCTATTCAACTGTTGCTCGCTCGAACCAGGTGAGCTCCAATGAATGTAATGCATAATAAAATCAGATAAATTGTTCGCTGTTTTCACTGTTCGATTTGTTCAAGTAATAATAATCCTTGCATTTGACACAGCACCTTATCACGTCTTCGAGACGTCTCAAAGCGCTTCACAGAATATAATAACATGAGAAATGCTAGAAGAGAAAAGACCAAAGTTTATCTAATTTGCCTTCCACCTTCCTGGCCTTCGCTTGCACATATGTCCCAAACTATCTCTGTACTATATCCCTTAATGTTATTTCCTAAAAGAAAACTATCTATCCTGTGTTGGAAAGACACTGATTCAATATACAGTTTGAAATATACTGTAAAGTGAATTGACGGTATATTTTGTGGGCGAAATGGTAACTCACATCGTTTTTTTTAAGAAAAAGAAAAATGGTGTTTTTTCTAAAATTATGTTTCGCTGAAAGATTTTTTTTNAAGTTCAGGTCTTCTTTGATACTTTTTTCCAGTGGTTCTCAATGGGTTTCATTCAGTGAGTAGTTGAGTCAGACAGACGAAGAACATTCAATCTCTGGTCTGTCTTGAGGTAGCTGTCTGCCTGGCAGGAAAAATCTGTACGTCATCAGAGATGTGTCCCCCACCCACCCAAAAACTACCAAACTTCCCCCAAACACCGGAACAACAGAGAAGCTGGACCCTTGTGAAACCAATATGGATCATTTTAATCAGCAGTTAAACGAAATGGTGCAAATCGATTCCTGACTGATAGCGGTGGTCAAGGTCATCACCAGAACATCCATGTCATGTGGATATGGAGCTTGCGGTGAATATCTGTGCGTGTGTGTGCGTAGCTCCCTTTCTCTGCCTTTTGCTCTGTGTGTGTGTGCGGGTGTGCGCATGTGTGTGCGTGTGTTTCTCTCTGTCTCTGTCTCGAGCTGTTTGCTGAGTATTTGTTGCCGCCTTTGAAGAGCTGTGGATTGACGTCATTGGCCATGTCTGTGTGTGCGCACGTAGTCTCCAGGGTGATGGCTTGACACAACATTCGCCAATCAGAACTCCTTGGGGACAATATTTCCTCCTTAACCCTCAAACCACTTGTCAGATCTGCTTGTCCCAGTTCAGGTTGGGTTACATGCTCAGTGGGGGTGGGGGTATGTGGGGGGTATGTGGGGTGGGAAGAGAGCGCGGAGAAAAAAAAATCCCGTCCCTCCATTGCCTTCCTCTAACTTTCAAACCCGTTAACCCTTTCCAACCCCACACAGATGAGTGATTTTCCCAACCTTTTTCCAGCAAAGATTTTCAGCCACTAGGAAAGAAGAAAATAATAATAATTTGGTCATTCAATCCACGACTGTTTGTGGGGACACCGCTTTGCGCAATTGCTTGCAGCGTTTTGCACCACAAGATATACAGTCAATTCACTTTACAGTATGTTCTGTGAAGCGCTTTGAGACGTCTCGAAGACGTGATAAGCCGCGATGTCAAATGCAAGGATTATTATCATTACATCAAAGTAACATTACCTCTGCACCAACTCATTAAGTTAGACGGAGAGTGAATATGTATTATTCCCCCTGATAATGTATCGTGATCACAACCAGAGGAGCCCTCCTACCTCGTCCCCACCACCTCCAGTTTATATTTCATCAGCTCACTCCTGAACCAGCTTGTCAGGAGGTCAGTGAATGTGCAATTGGAGAAGGCAGGCATCAATGAATTCCCTCTCCCTGTCAAGCCAACTCACTCTTTTATCTCTCTGAAGGCTCTGTTAAACACAGAATCGGGGAGAGTGAAATAGAATAATCGAGGAACCTGATCCCTTCCAGCTCAAGGCCAGACTGCATGGCTACTAACTTAAAATGTGCCAACAGAAGGA